CGAGATTTCTTTGTCAGTAAAAAGAGCATTTTGTATATAAAAAATGACAAGATTAATAAAAAAACATGGTTCTTTAGTTTAAGAGACTAAGTTTTATGTCCAGGGTGCCCCAATAAACATGGGAATTGAGTGACGATTTACATCATATTTTGATTTAGTATCTAGACAAGTTGTAATCCGTAGATGTATCGTCTACTAGAGTTAAGACTTTGTTTGTTTATGTTTTGATAGCGTACTGTTATACGTAGTTTAATGAAAAATGCCCGTAAACAAACACAGTACAGTTTATCTTGTAGAAATATTACAGAAAAATATACAACATTTTTTAGAATAACAAAACAATCTTTTACTGCTTACAGAAAATATAGTCTAGCAGACGTAACTATTTTTGACTATTGAAATTAGGTAATTATACTGTAAACGGCGTGAGCTCAATAGCTCGGAATAGGTCCATTAATGTAATCCCTTCAGTCCTCATACGGATTACGAGTAGGCCGGCCTATAAACAGGACAACGTACGTATTAGCTCTTTTGTACATAGTTATAGATCGAACAGAAAGTGGGTCGGACATTAAGTCGCCAAAGTAGAGAAATGTTTGTCGTTAGAAAATGCCAACCAAGAAAACATGCTTTGAACGCATGTTTGAACGCTGAAAAAACCAAAGCCACCGTTGCCCCAGATCCTAGTTTAAATGCAAGACAATAGGCATGAACCACGGCTAGGAAGGAGAAAATAGGATCAGCCTGGGCTAAAACAGAAATGGAATCGGTATTCCGCATAGATTCAGCCTGCTTATAAACAGTCTCATCAATTTTTAAGACAGGGTTGACTTTAAAGTGTCGCAACGCCCTCATCTTAGATTTTACCGCTCTAACTCAGTTATGCTTTTCTGTAGCTCTTTACATGTACATTTTAGTAATGTAAAGCACTTGTTAGCTTTGGTATTTTAGAATTAATTGGCGAAATTATCAACAATTTAAGCTTGAGAGCGTGAGACCATTAAATCGCAGTGATTCACAAAGAGTCTGAAGAGGGAAGAGTCCGTCAGAGAGCTCCTGCTTTCCATGATTCATTAGAATCATTTTTATTTGTTTATTTTTTACTTGTAAGCACATTTTTTTCTTATACTCTGTAGATTTACTCACATCAGTTTTAAGGCTTTAGATTTTCTATATTTCAATCCACTTTTTTATGGTTACAATAAAACGAAAAAAGACGATTTTGAATTCGAATTAATTCTCATGTTTATTGTGACACCCTGTATAATAATTTAGGCGGCACTTGGTATTTCAACTCAAAGATTAGAATCTTCATATCTTTACAACCTTTCAAATTTAAATTATTTGATCTGGCAAAATTTCTAGTTTAAATATCTAAGTTCTATGACATTGGGTGGCAAAGATATAGAGATTTAACATCAGAGTTTGGAACAAAGAAACAATTCCTGTGTTTCATAACAAAATGTCACCTATCAATTTGTCAACTAGCAAGTGTATCTCCTGGCAAAGCCAACCCATGGAAAATGTCAACTAGCAAGTGTATCTCCTGGCAAAGCCAACCCATGGAAAATGTCACCTAGCAAGTGTTTCCTGGCAAAGTTAACCCATGGAAAAATGAAAACTAGAAAGTTATCTCCATACAAAAATATTAATTAGCAGGTTTATCTTCTGGCAAAGTTAACCCATAGTTTATCTCCCTGAAAAGTCAACCCATGGAAAAATGATAATTAGCAAATTGTCACCTAGAAAGTTTTTCTTCTGGCAAAGTTAACCTATGGAAAAATGACAACTAGCAAGTTTATCTCCTGGCAAAGTTAACCCATGGAAAATGACAACTAGCAAGTTTATCTCCTGGCAAAGTTAACCCATGGAAAATGACAACTAGAAAGTTTATCTCCTGGCAAAGTTAAACCATGGAAAATAACAACTAGAAAGTTTATCTCCTTGCAAAGTTAACCCATGGAAAATGACAACTAGAAAGTTTATCTCCTGTAAAAGTTAACCCATGGAAAATGACAATTAGGAAATTTATCTCCTGGCAAAGTTAACCCATGGAAAATGACAACTAGAAAGTTTATCTCCTGGCAAAGTTAACCCATGGAAAATGACAATTAGGAAGTTTATATCCTTGCAAAAATAACCCATGGAAAATGACAACTAGCAAATCGTCGTTTGGTCAATTTGTTGTATGGCAAAGTGTCGCCTACGTGCTAATACATTCAAGTTTAAAGAAACCCGCAGTTTTAAAAGAATATTAAAATTTGATAATTTGTTCACTGTAATCCAAAGGATAAGCTTTAAAGCAAAAATCGATGAAAACTATTTCCATAAAGTAAAAGCTAGAACAAATTCTAAAATTTAAATGTTTTGTACTACAAAAGAGTATATTTTAGTAAGTAATGTATAATCGAAAGTTCAAGGCGCTGACCCCTTTAAAGTCGACCCAATCTTGAAAATTGATGCAACTTTTCATAGCAATCTGGATCCATGTAATGTCCTAAACCCCTATTTTTAATCAATATACCTTGTTTTAAGTAGTTAGAATAGAACTATAGAAGTAACTGAGTTAATGCTTTTACGCCAATATTGTGAATGTAAAGAAATGAGATTCTGTAGAAAGAGATGAGATGAGATGAGATGAGATTAGATAAGATGTGATGAGATGAGATGAGATGAAATGAAATGAGATGAGATGAAATGAGATGAGATAAGATGAGATGAGATAAGATGAGATGAGATGAGATGAGATGAGATGAGATGAGATGAAATGAGATGAGATGAGATGAGATGAGATGAGATGAGGTGAGATGAGATGAAATGAAATGAAATGAGATGCGATGAGATGCGATGAGATGAGATGAGATGAGATGAAATGAGATGAGATGAGATTAGAAACTTTCTTAATTTTCTTTGACTTAAAGTCGGAAAACCTAAAGAATTGAATTCTCTTTTATAAATTCTTGAAATAGACGAAGGGAAAGAATAAACATAATTATGACCATCGTAAAAAATAAATATGATTGCTGAAGTTACTTTTTTTATGTCCAACAAAACATGACAGTTGAAATAATTTGCAGCATCCCTTCGTCAAACCTACTAGATTTAAAATGTATATTTTTTAATGAAATAACTACAAAATTCTCCTAATCCTGGCATTTCCAAAATGTGGTCTGCTTTTTTGTCCTTTCAATATTACCTGAGATATTAAGAATTTCGATCAAATTTCAATATTGGATAAAACCAAAAATGTCAAAAAAGATCAAAGTCGACCTTCAATTCGTTTCTCATCTTACTTGGTTCGTGGGACACCCTGTATTTAATTTTGAGTTAGCAACATTCATATTCAAATTCAAAAACATCTAATTTAACTTTCTTCTCTTAATTTTACTTAACAAAGCTTTGTCTTCGTGTTTGAGTAAGTTTTGAAATTTAAGATTAGGAATTCACATTGCTTTGATTTTAAAGAAAAGACGGGGTATTAAAAATGAAATGAGTTTTTGACAAAAATCTTTGCAATCCGAAGACCTTTAATATTTAAAACTATGAATTCTGTTAGATTAAAGTTTAATATAGTTAAATATTTAAAAAGTTTGAAATATTAAAAGTTTGTAACATTAGGTTTAAAACATTTATGAGTAGAAAAAAGCATTTGAGTGAGTTATGGGGCTTTTTACTCCATTAAAATTAAAAAATATACCATACATTAAAGGGAATGTATATACCATATATTAAAGGGAGTGTATATACCATACATTAAAGGGAATGTATATACCATATAATAAAGGGACTGTATATACCATATATTAAAGGGACTGTATTTACCATATATTAAAGGAACTGTATATACATATACCATATATTAAAGGGACTGTATCTACCATATATTAAAGGAACTGTATATACATATACCATATATTAAAGGGACTGTATCTACCATATATTAAAGGAACTGTATATACATATACCATATATTAAAGGGACTGTATCTACCATATATTAAAGGAACTGTATATACATATACCATATATTAAAGGGACTGTATATACCATACATTAAAGGGAATGTATATACCATATATTAAAGGAACTGTATATACCGTATATTAAAGGAACTGTATATACCATATATTAAAGGGACTTTAACCTCTAATGAATAAAACAATACCCCCTAAACCTTGTCTCAGTAAAAATGAGAAAGATATTGATGACATTTTTCTTAAAAAGAAAAATCAGTTAATTTACCTCAGCTCTTGTCCGTGACACACATGAACCTATTCAGAACCCGCACTTAACAATTTGAAATATTTAGATAAAAGAAAGAAGGATGTCTCCGGGGGTAGTGAATTTGTAATTTGAGTCTTTGCTTCAACTTCAAATTTTTAAACCCCAATGTCTTTGCAACCATATGGTGTACAATTTTAATATTTCAATCTTTATTGAACAGAATTTATGGTTTGAAAATGCTAAGGTCTACCTACGACATTGGTTCGTAAAGATAGGGATTAGAAAATCAGAGTTTGTGGCGCGGCACTCAATTTCTTTTGCCGATATATTCATACTAAGTTTGCGATCTGTAAACTTTTGTAATTTTAAGTGTTGAATTGGTTGATGAAAAGTTAAGGTTTATGGAATACCTCCTGGAAATTGAAATAAAGTTTTGCTGAATCTTTAGAAAGCACAACATTGTGTTGAATTTCTGAAGATTTATAGAAATAGCTGAAAGTTTAATGGAAACATTAAAGCATTAACCAAATGGTTCCAACGCTTAAATCAATTTCATGACGCCTATACCTATTAAAGAAAATGTCTAAAAAATAACTACAAATTAAAAATATTTTTAGATTTTCTTGAAATGGTAAAAGTTTTGAAATCAAAGATTATCCTAAACAATGTTGTAAATTCAGTAGAAAATACAATATTTGGTCTAACAAGTAAAAAGCAAAACATTTTTATAATTAAGTTTGTTAGTTGCCTTTGTAATTAAAATCAAACTAATTTTTCTCTTTAAAAGTTTTAGAATAAAAAATGTCTGAAATTATGGAGAATGAAGAAATAGAGGTAAAACAGCTTGTTTTCGAACTGTTTAAATGGCAAAATATTTTTTATAATGTATTGTGTAATTTCTTTTCTATAATGCATTGTGTTCTTGTGAATATTGTATAGTTTGTTTGTTTGTTTATAAATATTGTAGATAAAGAAAAGGAAAATAAATCTCCATGACAGAATTCAGAATTCTTCCTTTTTTTCCCCAAAACCCTAAGACAAAAATAAATTTCAAAATGCAAAAAATAGGTTTGATATGCAAAGCAAACAAAGGTTAAACAACATGTTTAAAAAACGCTATTTGGTAAGACAAGGATAGAGTATCTTTCAAAAGGGCACTCGTTTTTTTTTATAAAATTATACTTTTGATATTTAAAATCAAACTGTAATTTTAAAATTTCGGTTACATGTTCCTTTTTATGTTCCTTTTTAACTTAATTCTTTGTAGATGCTATTATTGTTTTTACTTCTTTCATAATAGATAAAACCTACCCAGGCAAAACTTTTTTTGTAAAAAAAGACTTTTTCAAAAATATTCAATTTATTTTTGAAATTTATTCATTTCATATTTATTTTATTTTTAAGCAAGGAACTAATTAAATCCGCTAAAATTTTTACTAAATTAGAAAAATTACTAACCCAGCCTTTTAAAAAAACTTTCATATGAACAAAAAGTTTTTTTAAGTCTCTGAACTTCAATTTATTAACAAAATTACTGGTGCAAATGCAAATTCAAAAACGACAATTATTCTGGGGATCACTTTTTCACTTAAAACCTTGTTTCTTAATTTAGTACTAGGCATTTAGGGCGCTTCGCGCCCGTCTTCTTTTTCAACTTTTTATTGTGGCTTTATCTGTGAGCATCTTCTCTTTGTAGAGTAAAAAATTTAAAGAATTTTTTTTTTCGGATTTCATACTATTTTTTCGTGGATTTTCAAAATTTTACTAAATTAAATAGTTTAAGATAAAAATATTTCAGGACTACATATTTAAAGTCTGATTGGCCATAAACCTTCCCTGGGGCCACGTGCTGTTCCACACAAAATTTTGGTCTGATCGGGTCAGCCGTTTTAACGTTTATTGGATACAAACAAGCAGACAAACAAACAAAGAGACACCCACCCAAGCTAAATTTTTATATAGATGCCCTGGGACCTCAAACCCTAGGATCCTTTATTTTACTTGTCAATTCAGGAAATGAATGAAGACCTCGAAAAGGAGTTAGGAAGCGAGGAGGTGGAGAAGGTGAACAGGGAGGAGTTGAAGGAGGTCGAGCAGGAGATGATCATTCGAGAACTCGAGGCAACAGAAAACCAACTCAAGGTCAAAATTTTAGTTAGGGGAGTGTTTGCAAAAATCAGAAAGGAGGAGCAAATAAAATCATGAATCGTTTTTTACGTTGTTAACATTAGTGTGTCCACAATTGAACCTCCATATTAGTGCGTCAAAATTTTTGCGTCCACTATAAAGCATCCATATTAGTGCGTCCACTTTAGGGCATTTATATTAGTGTATCCACTTTTGAGCATCGATATTTGTGTGACCACTTTAAAGCATCCATATTAGTGCGTCCACTTTAAGGCATCCATATTAGTGCGTCCACTTTAGGGCATTGATATCAGTGCGTCCAATTTAGAGCATCAATTTCAGTAGTCCACTTTAAAGCATCAATATCAGTGTGTCCACATAAGAGCATCGATATTAGTGCGTCCACGTTATAGTATCGATATTAGTATGTCCACTTTAGAGCATCAATATTAGTGCGTCCAATTTAGAGCATCCTTATGTGTGTGTCCACTTTAAAGCATCAATATCAGTGCGCCCACTTTGAAGCATCAATATCAGTGAGTCCAATTTAAAGCATCAATATCAGTCCGTCCACTTTAGAGCATCGATATTAGCGCGTCCACTTTAGAGCATCGATATTAGTGTGTCCACTTTAAAGCATCAATATTAGTGCGTCCACTTTAGAGCATCCTTATTAGTGTGTCCACTTTAGAGCATCAATATTAGTGCGTCCACTTTAGAGCATCGATATTAGTGCGTCCACTTTAGAGCATCAATATTAGTGCGTCCATTTTAGACCATCAATATTAGTGAGTCCACTTTAGAGCATCAATAGACTTTACGCTTTAGTGCGTCCACACTCCACATCAGGGTGTCCACTTTACGCTTTAGTGTGCCTACACTCCACATCAGGATGTCCACTTTACGCTTTAGTGTGCCCACACTCCACATCAAGGTGTACACTTTATGCTTTAGTGTGCCCACACTCCACATCGGGGTGTCCACTTTACGCTTTAGTGTGCCCATACTCCACATCGGGGTGTCCACTTTACGCTTTAGTGTGCCCACACTCCACATCAGGGTGTCCACTTTATAGTGTTAACTTTAGGATTGTCCGCTTTAGGGTGTCCGCATTAGTGCGCCCATTTTACTGCGTCATTTTAAGTACGTTAATATTAAGGATTAGTGAACAGTTGTCCTAATAAATATGGGATTTAAGTGACAATTCTAATGACGTCTTTATGAATGATTGTTGATTGGTATGGCGATGCGTCAACTTAAATATAAGAGTGTCTTTATTTTATTGATATAAACGCCGATCACAGTAGGAAAGCATGTAATCCTTTGACCGTTAAGTATTTCGTCTGCAAATGTTTAGCATTTGTTGAGTTTTTTTTTCTAAATTCGGTATTGCAATGCTATGTTAAGAAAGACGATCTCGAAGCCGTCACTGAACTCCCATGTATATTGGGACACCCTGTATTTCTTGTTTGATGTCCAGGAATTGGACAGGATCGAGGAGAATAATGGAAATCCTTTCCACGGAGATTTATCCTTCTCTCCTGAGGATTTAGCGGTGAGTATAGTTTCATTTATGTAAAGTAGTAATCTCTAATTATTTTTTTTTTGTGTAATCATAACTCAGGAACCCCTAGACCCAAGGATGGAAGGCAAGGAAAGTCATTTCAGAAGTGTACACATCTTTAGTACTGCAGTGTACTGGCTCTGGGAGCTAATGTAAACACAAGACGGATGTCGAAGCCTGACATGGGATCCATCATTCACATAAAAAATCAATGAAATATTCTGGTCATAGGAAATTATTATGTGAATTATCAAAATTATCAAAATTTCATGCTTTTAACCTCCTCGGATACTAAACAAACTCTGATGCATCTATTATTATTTACAAATTCCGCCCAAAGAGAACTGGTTTCAATATGTACACAGAGTATACACAACCGCAATTGACTTTCTTTGCCTTTCATTCTTGCCTAGACCAATATGCATCGAATTTTGATTCTAGAATTCGTTAGCACGAACAGAATTTTCTAAATTTGGTTTAGTTTTATGTTAAGAGTTAGTCGACTTATGGAGGAAAAGTTTAGATTTTCAGGCTAAGATGGGTGCACACGTACACGCTAAAAATTCAGAAAAAGAAAGAAATTAAAAATTTAATTAAATTCTAAAAACCTAATTCATATCTGCGCTATTCAGGAGGTACAAACCTAATCTCTTTATTCAAGAATTATTTTGTTGCAAAATTGTATTTTTGAAAAAACTAATTGCAAAACAAAATTCATCTTTGTCCAAATAGAGATAAATAGAAAACAAAATGTACATTAAACGTTTCATGCAGTGAAAAAAGGAAAGGAATCAATTTGTAGAAAACAAAATGTAGAAATAACATTTTGTGTAGAAACAATATGAAGAGATAACATTTTGTGTAGAAACAGTACGTAGAGATATTATTAATTGAGTAGAAACAATATGTGGAGATGACATTTGAGTAGAAACAATATGTAGAGATAACATTTTGTGTATAAACAATATGTAGAGATAACATTTTGTGTAGAAACAATAAGAAGAGATAATATTTTGTGTAGAAATAATATGTAGATAACATTTTGTGTAGAAACATTTTGTAGAGATATCATTTTGTGTTTCAACAATATGTAGAAATAACATTTTGTGTAGAAAAAATATGTAGAAATAACATTTTGTGTAGAACCAATGTGAAGAGATAACATTTTGTGTAGAAACAGTATGCAGAGATAATATTTTGTGTAGAAACAATGTGTGGAGATAACATTTTGTGTAGAATCAATATATAAAGATAACATTTTGTGTAGGAACAGTATGTAGAGATAACATTTTGTGTAGAAACAATATGTAGAAATAACATTTTGTGTAGAAACCATATGTAAAGATAATATTTTGTGTATAAACAATATGTAGAGATAACATTTTGTGCAGAAACAATATGTAGAGATAACATTTTGTGCAGAAACAATATGTAGAAATAACATTTTGTGTAGAAACAATATGTAGAGATAACATTTTGTGTTCAAACAATATGTAGAGATAACATTTTGTGTAGAAACAATATGTAGACAAAACATTTTGTGTATAAACATTTTGAGTAGAAACATTTTGTAGAGATATCATTTTGTGTATAAACAATACGTAAAGATAATGATTTTGTAGAAACAATATGTGGAGATAACATTTTGAGTAGAAACAATATGTAAAGATTTCGTGTAGAAAAAACATGTTGAAGAAACATTTTATTCAGTAAAAAAAAGAAGTGGAAAGTGTTAGTTTAGAAAACGCTTCGCGGAGTGATAAAGATTGCAATTGAAAACTGTTTCTTGGTACGTTGTCTAATATTTTTAATACTTTTAAACATTAAGCAGATTTTTAAAATTAACTTTTATGGATATGGGATGTACTTTGCTTTTCATTTTATGGCATCTGTTTTTCTTTTTATATCTTTAGCTGTAAACTTACTTTTGATTAAAAACAGAAGCCAATAAAGAATTATCAAATAATCAAATAATCAAATAATCAAATAATCAAATAATAAAATAATCAAATAATCAAGAAAGGTTCGATCTTGATTTGATTAAATAGAAAGAAATCCTAAAAGAAGTTTTCTTTGATAGAAAATATACAATTTTTAATATTAAATATATCTAACCTCGAGATATAGTGAGAGCAGTTAAACTGGAGAATATAAAGACGACAATTGAGTAACTTTTTGTGTATTTAATGTTGTTAAAAAGCTAGATTGAAATCAAATCCATGCTGCTATGCAAAGTTACATAAAGTAATTATAGTCTTACCACAAACTCAAGATATAGACGTTGGATTGTAAAAACATAGTGATTAGCAAATCAGCAAATTAATTCTTTTTCAAAACTGGGTAGATTTTAAAGTTTTGCAACGCCTCGGACTCGATAACTAACTTATTTAAACATTTTGTAGCTCTGGACATGACAAATATTTGCGTGAGTACAATTGCAACCTTTGGATGACTGTGCCGAGTCTGTTAACACTGTACAATTGCCGAGCTGTTCATTGGACTTTTATAAAATCAACAGTCGTCTTCTTATATTGCATAACTTTACTATCGATGTGGGATGAAATATGATTTTCAATTTTTAGTTTCTGTTTTTATTTATTTTATTTATTTTATTTATTTTATTTATATAACTTATTTTATTCATATTATTTATTTTATTTATTTTATTTTTTTATTCTATTAATTTTTGATTAATTTTAAACTTTAATGTTTATTTCGTGAATACATATTTAGTTGGCATATGTAACATTACAAAATTTATTATAAATGTTGCATTACTCTTTTCTCACAATTTTTGATTTATAACAGAACTCATGAAAAGGATTCACAGTGCGGTTGAAACTTTGATCTGATCAATAATGTGGAGGATAACGTCGTTTTTCTTGCTTGAAAATTTGTTTATTTCCGATAATTTCTTCATTGTTTCTAAAGCCAAGTCACTATTGCAGAGGAAACAAATAACAATCAAACAGATAGAAGTACAAAACATGGATATATAATCCGACATGCCACTATATCAACGAAGGGTCACCTTAAATTTTACTTAAATTTTTTAAAATATTTTTTTAACAACAGGCGAGAGGTATTTTTGTGAAGAATGTTATGGAGTTTACTGCAACCCTGGAGCTATCTGCACCTAAAGATGTTTCTAAGATGTACAACTTTGTAAGTATACGGGCCACGGGGACACATAAAAAATATAAAAACTGAAAGATGTATATTGTGAACATTTAATAATATTCTTGAGTACAAAATACTACATATCAATTTTGCCGCATGGTTCTTTTCTCCCAACCTGTTCCAGTCACACAATATTTTGTAAACCTATCCTGTTACAAAAAGTTTCGATAAGAAAAGAAACTTTGGGGGGAGGAGGCCGACTGGGTTTGTTTAACAAATTTAAGCTCTATAGTCTTGAGATTTACGATATTACAATGCGTTACCTACAGGAATATGTACACGGGGGGGGGGGGCTTCATTTTTTTATTTCCAGCACCCATTGATGCCGTAGACACCTCTGACTACATGAGATAATATAATTAATAATATCTTTCTCTGTATATCTATGAATCTCTATAACTCTGTATATTTGTATCTCTGCATCTCTGTATCTCTGTATCTCTGTATCTATGTATCTATGTATCTCTGTATCTCTGTATCTCTGAATCTAAGTATCTCTTTATCTCTGTATCTCTGTATCTCTGTATCTCTGTATCTTTGTATCTCTGTGCTCTGTATCTCTGTATCTCTGTATCTCTGTATATCTGTATCTCTGTATCTCTGTATCTCTGTATCTCTGTATCTCTGTATAACTGTATCTCTGTATCTCTATATTTCTATATCTCTGTATATATGTATCTCTGTATCTATGTATCTCTGTATCTCTGTATCTCTGTATGTCTGTATGTCTGTACCTATTCATCTCTGTATCTCTGTATCTCTATATTTCTATATCTCTGTATCTATGTATCTCTGTATCTCTCTATTTCTGTATCTCTGTATCTCTGTATCTCTGAACCTCTGTATCTCTGTACCTTTGTATCTCTGTATCTCTGTATCTCTCTATCTCTGTATTTCTGTATCTCTGTATCTCTGTATATCTGTATTTCTGTATCTCTGTATCTCTGTATCTCTGTATTTCTGTATTTCTGTATCTCTGTATCTCTGTATCTCTGTATTTCTGTATAGTCTGGTCTGAAATCTAATCTACCCCGGGATGATATAAACCTACAGTTCTGCAGAGGACAGCTTAAACTAAAGAAGGATATGTTGACAGATATGATGCAACAGGAATAAACTAAATTCAGATATAAATATATTTTCAATCAAGTTAATTTCATTGTTTTTAAAATTCAAGTTAGCATTGACATTGTCGCCATTAATGTTATAGTGGATTTTCATACAATGTTTTGGTCTACCCCCTAATTTTGTGGTTTACTCGATCCTGATATTGTGGTTTATTCCTGATATTTTGTGGTTTATACCTCTTTTTAACTTTAATCATTTATTTTATTTAAATTTTACAATATTTTTAAATATTCATATGATATCAGATGGATATATTTGAGATTTCTATATTTCTTGTTCTTCATTTCTTTCTTGTTGGTCCATCCTTAAATCATACTTCGGCTAATTTTGAAAATTTTGAAAGAATTTTGTTGGATGTTCTTGTAGTGTGCCGTGTTACAAGTAAGAACTATTTTTGAATGATTTTGCTTTTTTTTCTGAGCCATCAATTTGAAATTGCTCAATATCTTGCTCACTTTTTTCTGAACCTCTAATATTATGGTTTTGCCCTAATATTTTGATTTACTCCTGACATTATGGTTTACCCCTATTAAGGTCTACTCCTAATATTGTGGTTTACCTCTAATATTGTGGTTTACCTCTAATATTGTGGTTTACCGATAATATTGTGGTTTACCTCTAATATTGTGGTTGACCTCTCATTTTACATGGTTTATCTCTAATATTGTGTTATTCTTTAGTTTTCTGTCAAAAACATCAAGTTATAGAATAAATAATTAATGCTAAGCAGTCACGAAAACTATGTTAACCAATAACTATGTAAAAAATACTTTTTGGGATAAAAACATGTTGTTTTAAGATCAAGGACTAGAAAGGGAAAAATAGAACAACTTAATATCCTTTATACAGTAGTTCAGTTTACTTTATTCTAATTTAGGTTTTATTTTTATCAAATCAAGTTAAGCATTTTCTATTGCATGTATGTATGATGGTCAATGTCATTTTACTTCAGTCATTTTTTCCTTGATAAATATATATTAAAAGATCTCCAATCTGAAAGGGGTGTATATGTAAACAGTCGAAAAGAAAGAAGTCACTACTCGACTCTCAAACTCTACTCCTTCTCAAAACGCAAGAAGAAAGCCATTTGTAAGTAGAAACAAACTTTTTTTTAAACCACGTTTTAATAAAGCTGAAACATTTAAAATGAAAAAAATGAAACTAGGCAAAAGTTTGGCTTGGAAAAAAGTTGTTAAATCCCCGAAATTCATTTTCCTCCTAATTTGGGGAAAAAAAATTTAATCTCTAGAATCGAAAATTAGAGAATCTAATAATTGATAGTATCTATTTTACCTATCAAATTTCACTAAATTTTACCCTAATTGGTCCTAATTGAAAACAGTTTAAAATATAAATTATAGTGATGAACCGAATTTTATAAATAAGTTATTTTTCAAAAACAAATTTCAAAAAAGAGTTAATTTTTTGCTCATAAAGTTAAAAAAACTCCGACTGATTATTGATAACTTTTTTAATCTAATTAAAATGTTAAGGGTTGCGGAGAAAACGGATTTCTGGCGCAGAGCAGCACTTCTTCATCTTAAGGTATAGCCACTGGTAGAAACTGGTAGAAACTGGTAGAAACTGGTAGAAACTAGTAGAAAATAATAGAAACTAGTAGAAAAATAGAAACTTAGAGAAAATAACTGATACTAAGAATAGAAAATAAGAGATATTGCAGAAACTAGTAGAAACTCGTAGATAGTAGTATAAAGTGGTAGAAAATGGTAGAAACTAGTAGAAACTAGTAGAAACGAGTAAAAACAAGTAGAAACGAGAAGAAACTAGTAGAATTTATGAGAAACTATAGTAGAAACTAGAAGAAACTCATCTAAACTAGTAGCAATTAGTAGAAACTAGTAGAAACTAGTAGATACTAGTATAAAGTGGTAGAAAATGGTAGAAACTAGTAGAAACTAGTAGAAATCAGTAGAAACAACTAGAAACTAGTAGAAATTCGTCTAAACTAGTAGCAACTAGTAGACACTAGAAGAAAGTAGGAGTAACTAAGGGAAACTAGGAAAAACTAGTAGAAACTAGTAGAAACTTGAAGAAACGAGCAGAAACTAGTAGAAACTAGTAGAAACTAGGAGAAACTAGTAGAAACTAGTAGAAAATCGTAGAAAGTGCTATAAATTAGTAGAAACTAGTAGAAACTAAAAGAAACTAGTGGAAAGAATGACAAACAAGTAGAATCTATTAGAAACTAGGGGAAAAACAAGTAGAAACTAGTAGAAACTAGTAGAAACTAGTAGAAACTAGTAAACTCTAGTAGAACCAATTAGAATTAAGTAGAAACTAGTGGAAAGAAGGACAAACTCGTAGAATTAAGTAAAAATAAATCAAATTATTTTCCAATTAACAAACTTGCTTCGTTTCTTCTCACAATTATAGAATTACATTTCACAGGAGCTAAGCACACCCCACTCTAGACAACATGACAAGGTCAAATTAAGCCACATTACTTGTCGGACTTTGTGACCCTGTAGCTTCTCTAAATTTTATGAAACGCTCAAGTGTAACAAAAGCAAATTTCTTTGGTAACTACTAGAAATTAAAAACATTTTCTGCTCAATAGCTATTCAATAAAAGGATCGAGTTATGTAAGATTTCAATCCAACGCGAACTTTACTTTTTTTTGACATGTTCGCTCTCTATTCACTGTACACTGTACAGTGTACAGTTTAAACTAAAATGCATAAACTTTTCTAAACTTGCTGATAGTATGTTTATTTGAACATAATCATAATTAATCCTAAAACATAAATTTGTGGTTTGAGAATGCACTTTCAGATTTCCATAATTCTAAATACGATAACTTAATTTTTCTGATTTTTGCAAGGAAAACAAATATTATATTCCAAACATGGTCCTAACAGTAAAGGATACGACAACATGAATTTACCCAAAAATTTACCCTTCTAGTGTGTACGCTGCGTACTCTTGTATATGACGTAATTGATCTCAGTAATGGTTTTGAAATCAAGCAATCATAATTCTAGGAGAATAAACTCAAACTAGAAATTAAATATATATCCTAGAAGAATAAACCAAACTAGAGAATAGATAATATCCTAGGAGAATAAACCCCAACCAGAGAATATAGATAATTATAAGATAATACATCCCAACTAGAGAATATCGATAATATTCTAGGAGAATAAACCCCAACTAGAGAATAACCCTGAATGGTTGGCTGAGTATAGAAAGGATGGGATGGATCTTCAGCAGCAAACTGGAGAAAAATTCTGGAAACAGGTAGACCATACCAAACATTATACTAAACTGGTATATCATACCAAACAGGTACAGGGTGTCCCAAAAAACGATCTTTAAGACATTGTAGCACTCACTATGGTTCAATTTTTAAAAATTTGTACACTTTTGAAATCTTTGCAATATTTCCAATATATTGAAACCAGTCACAGGTTGATAACACTAAAATGAAGGTAGTATTGACTGTTTGAAGTTTGCCATTTTAGCTTGGTTGAAAATCTGTACAAAGTACAAAACTGTATCCTTCTTGGTAAATCTTCAGGTTTAAGTTCCTCCCTTCTGATTGGCCAATATGGGTGATATTTCATATTACTTGATATCCTTGACCTGCTGGACTTGTCTAACATCAAAGAGTTTCTTCTTGCAGAACTCACAATAAAAGTATTTCTACCTACAATCTGTTTGACAGTATCTCTGTTCATTACTGCAGCAACCCTGACAACATTTCTAGGAGTTCTGAGTTCTGACATGTCAGCTAGGATCTTCCACTGAATGTATTTCCAGGATTCGTCTTACTATTCACAATGAGAACTGCCCCCTACTCTATTACCTTTTTATAAATTCTTCTTTCCTAACATAAAGCAGGCGTCTTGCATTTGGAAATTTGCGCCCGCAGTCCGTAATAAGACCAGGCATAACCTTTAGTTCTGTCACCCTTTCTTTTGTGGTACTCAAAAGCAAGGAATTATTACTTTCCTGTGTTGTAAACTGAGGTTTTGCCATTACTTAACAATGACTGCATTTTTAAGATTTGTTTAAAAGATTTGCATATTTTTCAGACCCTAATAAGATTCCATATTATGTTTAAAATTCTAAAAAAAATAATATATAAACTCAACCAAGCCAAAATGACAAACTTTAAACAGTCAATACTTTCTTAATTTTAGTGCTAGATACCTCTCATTGATCGGAAATGTTCCAAAGATTTCAAAAATGTACACTTTTTTAAAAATTGAACCATAGTGAGTTCTACAATGTCTTAAAGATCGTTTTTTTGGGACACCCTGTAGAACATACCAAACATTACTAAACAGGTAGATCATACAAAACAGGTAGAACATACCAATCAGGTAGATAATATCAAACAGGTAGATCATACCAATCAGGAAGATTATACCAAACAATTAGAAAATACTGGTAGAATTTACCAAACATGCGGAATATAACAGTTTCCTGAGAATGGAACTTTTGTGTGGATATTGATAATCTTGTAAACTTAGTTTCGATATTGAATTTGAGGATCAATGCTTGATTCCTTGATTAAAGTTATACCTGCAGGTTATTGACCATCACGATTAGCGGAGTAGAATTAAATTCTTTAAATCTGCATAAGATGGAGATAAGAGCTTAATTCCGAGGTTCGCATTACCAAAAATTATGACTTACGTACTTCTAGTACTTTTAGAACTTATAGAAGTTTATTTATCTCTTATCTAACTTGAGAGATATACTGGATACTTCAACCATCCAAGATTTCAATTAGGGAGGATTAAAAGATAAGAAGAACTCTATCTTTTAATATCTGATTTCCTTTTGATTTACAGTGTACCTTAATCTCTAGGTGGAGACAGGGGAGATTAAACCACAGAGAAGGAAGAGCGTGATCAACCTTGCTCCTACTCCATTAGGTACCTTGAGATTAAACCTGAGAGAAGGTAGAGTGTGATTAACCTTGCTCGTTCTCCATCAGGTATCTTGAGATTAAACTACAGAGAAGGAAGAGTGTGATCATCCTTGCTCCTAGTCCATCAGGTACCTTGAGATTAAACCACAGAGAAGGAAGAGTGAGATCAACCTTGCTCCTACTACATCATGGGTACATTGAGATTAAACCACAGAGAAGGAAGAGTGTGATTAACCTTGCTCCTACTCCATCAGGTACCTTGAGATTAAACCACAGAGAAGGAAGAGTGTGATCATCCTTGCTCCTACTCCATCAGAGGTACATTGAGATTAAACCACAGAGAAGGAAGAGTGAGATTAACCTTGCTCCTACTCCATCAGGTACATTGAGATTAAACCACAGAGAAGGAAGAGTGTGATCATTCTTGCTCCTACTCCATCAGAGGTACATTGAGATTAAACCACAGAGAAGGAAGATTGAGATCATTCTTGCTCCTACTCCATCGGGTAGATTGAGATTAAACCACAGAGAAGGAAGAGTGTAATCATCCTTGCTCCAACTTTATCAGGTACATTGAGATTAAACCTCAGAGAAGGACGAGTGAGATCAACCTTGCCCCTTATTCATCAGATGCCTTGAACAAAATATGTATCTTAAAAATTATAGGGGGTATAGGCTTACGTCAAAAAATGTTCGATGGTGATTGCTACTAATCTTACTTTCTGTTGCGTCTATATGGATAAAATTGTTAAAAACGAATCATACTGAAGAATCTATGATTATAGGTTGAAATATCTGAATGATTTGTTTGGAATTGAATTGAAATTGATTTTTTTCGATCCGATTCGAATATTGCAACTTTCTGAATTTGTATAGACGCTACGTTCTTTGGTATGAGTCGTTTTTAACAATTTTGATATTTAAAACTTATCAAAATATCAAATGTTTCCGTCACAAGGATGCAAAGATATTTGTATTGCAAAATTTGAGTTTGAGGCGAGCATAGAACTGGTGTGGGAGGAGATCAAAACAAAAATTTATCTTCTACATTTTACCCAAGAACCCGAATAATTGAAGTTAGCCTTTAAAAGATTTACTATGAACATGCATTGCAACCCTATACCTTAATTCAAGGGAGGGGGGGGGGGGGTTTATTATTATTTTTCTCATCATCATTATTATTGATGTAATGATAATCTGAAAAGAGGTGTTGTGTGAGATTATCTATGGACATGGGGAGAGATATGACGACGGAACAGCAGCGATTGGTTTCACCTGGCTTTTTAAGGTACAAGACCACGTCGAACTAACTACTACAAAGTACAAGACCACGTCAAACTAACTACAACAAAGTACAAGACCACGTCGAACTAACTACAACAAAGTACAAGACACCGTCACACTAACTACAACAAAGTGCACGACCACGTCGAACTAACTACATCAAAGTACACGACCAAGTCGATTAACTACAACAAATTACACGACCACGTCAAACTAACTACAACAAAGTAAATCCTGTCTGTATTTGGATTTGTCATTCAAAATCCGTCAAAAATAGCGCAAGGGACCTTGTAAGGATGAGGAAAGGATGTGCGAAGGGAGAGGAAAGGAGAAGAGAGTAAAAGGATATGTGAAAAGAGAGAAAAAATATACGAAGGAAGAAGAAATGACATGTAAAGGGAGAGGAAAGGATATGAAAAGGGAGAGAGAAAAGAATATGTAAAGGGAGAGGAAAGGATATTTAAAGGGAGAGGTAATAATATGTGAAGGGAGAAAAATAATATGCAAAGGACAAGGAAATGATATGTGAAGGAAGGGGAGAGGATTTGTGAATGAAGAGGGAAGGATATGTGAAGGAAGAGAAAATTATATGTTAAGGGAGAGGAAAGGATATGTAAAGAGAAAGAAAGGAAACGCGATGGAAGAAAGAATATGTGAAAGAAGAGAAAGGATATGGAAAGGAAGAGGAAAGTATATGTAAGGAAAGGATATGCCAAGGAAGAAAGGAAGATGTTAATGAGTTAAAATGATGGTATTATTTCACAGATTGTAAGATTGGCAACATGTCAATGTTGGCATATTTCTTAAATTTGACCATTACTAATTCTAGATGCTGAACCGTGCCAACACAGTCGGGATACTTATCAAGGATTTATACCAAAACTATAAGTGGTTTCACAAAGCATTTTTTTAATTAAACAAATTTAATATTTTTAATTCTTGATTTAATATTTCAATATTTCTTTCTTTATTTAATATTTCAACATTGTATTTATTATTTATTTCTTGTTTTGACTATAAATTTTGTTAGGCAAAAAAACACGGTCTAGTTTATTTCGATGGAGAAATAGTGTTCGCGGTAAAAACTTAAATCATTATTAAAGGGATTGTTCGCGAAAAAATAAAATGAGGTTTACGTAAAAAATATTATTCGATGATTCTATCTGTTTCGTCTATAAAGAGATAATAATTAAAACTACTCCTACCGAAGAGCGTAGTGTTCATACAAATTCAAAAAGTTCCAATATTCGACTCGGATCGTAAACAAATCTACTTAATTCCAAAAAATCATTCAGATATTACAACCTATGATCATCGATTTTTTTTCTTTTTTTTAAATTAACATTTTGCTTACAACTTGTTTTTAGAGCTGGTGCTGGATTTTCGAACATCATTAGAAATATGAATACGTCGTCTTCATAATTAAAAATCCTCGAAATAGGAGTGAACGCTTTCAAGAGTAGCTCTCGGGTCATGAAATATAAAAAGATTATGAAATATCAGCTTTAATATGAATGCGTCAAAAAACAGATCAATGATTATAGGTTATGAATATTTGAATGATTTGTTTGGAATCAAATTGATTTTTTACGATCCGATTCGAATATTGCAACTTTCTTGATTTGTTTGGACGCTACGTTCGTTTTTATAATTTTCTCCTTATAGACGCAACAGATTAGTAGTAGTAAGATTAGTTGAAATTACCATCGAATATTTTTTTACGTAAGCCTATGCCCCTTTTCATTTTTCGCGACCACTCCTTTTAAGCTATCTGAAATAAACAAAAATATAAGATATCCATTAAACATAATTCAATATTGCATTTAGAATAGTATCTTTAAATTCATAATTTTAGGAAAGTTTATTTTTCTATGAACATTTTTTTTGAAAATTAGGTACATTTCCATAAACATTCAGATTTGGCAAAAATAAAGTAAAATCTAATTTCAACGAATGTAAATTTAATGTTATCTATCTAAACTCAAATTGTCACTATTTTGAATATATATATATATATATATATGTATATATTTATATTTATTGTTTTATCATATATATAATACGATACTTAGTAAATCTTCCAATAGTTGTTATATAAATAAGAGAAGTGCTCAGAGACAGGATGGATTATGTCAAGAGCTTGGTGTTGGCTAGATTGTATTAATCAAAGTGTTGAACCTGATCCAACCAAATCATAAGCTCAACATTTTAACATTTTTATTAATGTTAGTTTTTAACAAAATTCATAAAAAGCATTGAAAACTACTTTTGTAATTTCTTGATATGCGGCTTAAAACCTCCCCTTTTATATTTTATATTTTACACATGGCATATTATATGAGTAAATACACCCTCCTCTTCCAGTCCTCTTGTTTTTTATAGATATCAATGATTAAAGAAAACACTTCTCCAGCTTTGTTTTTTTTATTTGCTCTTGCTACAAACTCAACTTTTTTAATCCCTTTATCAATTAGGAACCTGATGGTGTAAACTTTTAATATCCTTCGATATTTATAATTAACTATTTGATCGGGGTTGAAAAAGTTTGTGGAAAGAACAAGTTTATACAAATTTTAGTCTAAATTTTTTTTTATTTAAATCTAAGTTCAATTTCAATTCCTTCCCTTTGCTGTTTTTCGTCAGATTTGAGGCTTGTTAAGGGTTTCTATTTTTGTCTGTGTGACTTAGAGCACAAAAATCAATTTAAATATAAAAGAATTCTTAAAAACCTGAACTTAATGAGTTTATAACACAGTTCTTGCAATGATCAAGTTTCAAGTCGCCATGAAAACTTGATTTTAATTATAATAAATTTGTAAAAATCTGTGAAAATGTTTTAATCCTAATTTAAATAATTCGGTCACTTGCTACGCTCTATACCATCCAAGCTTTGTTGTTCTGTAGATCAATAGGGATCTAAACAACCTGAATACAAACAAAGAACAGTTTTTCAAAAATAGATTTTTAATAACATCAAAATAATCGTTTAGAATAATTTTATAAAAATATTAAGATTTTATCTTAGAGTCGTTGCACGGGAATTTGGTAGGTTTACAAACAGTTTCGTAAAAGATTTACGGCTGCATCGTTTACAAACAGTTTCGTAAATGATTTATGGATGCACGCTTTACAAGCAGTTCCGTAAACAATTTACGGCTGCATGGTTTACAAGCAGTTCCGTAAACGATTTAAGGCTGCATGCTTTACAAACAGTTCGGTAAACGATTTACGGCTGCACAGTTTACAAACAGTTCCTTAAACAATTTACGACTGCACGGTTTACAAGCAGTTCCGTAAACGATTTACGGCTGTACGGTTTACAAACAGTTCCGTAAGCGAATTACTGCTGCACGGTTTACAAACAGTTCCTTAAACGAATTACTGCTGCATGGTATACAAAAAGTTCCGTAAACAATTTACTGCTGCACGATTTACAAACAGTTCAGTAAACAATTTACAGCTACACGGCTTACAAACAGTTACGTAAACGAAATACTGCTGCACGGTTTACAAACAGTTACGTAAACGAAATACTGCTGCACGGTTTACAAACAGTTCCGTAAATGAAATACTGCTGCACGGTTTACAAACAGTTCCGTAAATGAAATACTGCTGCACGGTTTACAAACAGTTCCGTAAATGAAATATTGCTGCACGGTTTACAAACAGTTCCGTAAACGATTTACGGCTGCACGGTTTACAAACAGTTATGTAAAGGAAATACTGCTGCACGGTTTACAAACAGTTCCGTAAACAATTTACAACGGTTTACCCCATGCAATGTTATAAAAAAATCGGCGCAATTTAAGTTTTTCAATGGTTACTAGAAGAGATGCGCGAAACATGTAAGCTTATTTTTTTCTTTACAATATTCACTTGAAAAAAGCTACCACAAACCAAATATCGTGAAGTAGAAGTAAATATTTCCTTTTACTGATAGCGCCGATTGAAGGATTCATAACTCTAATTGGATAATGAGATAGATAGTAAGATAGATGTTACCGCCATACTATTTCTATTGGTTCAAAATAGACAACAAACACATGACTGAACCCTGATTGGGTGAGGCGCTAATGAACTCGGCATACTGGAGTGGAATATAACATGAATATAAGAATTATTATGTTTTAGTTCAACCCGTCTCCAAGGCACCAGTAAAGGGTAAAAGAGAAGAAATGGAAGAAAGATGGCAGGTTAGATTCATGATCTTGATGAGAATAGGATATAAAATAATTTTTTTATTATATTTTTTTTTGATCAGGGCTTACTTGTGAAAGGGACCCTCCATTTGTAGAGTGGGGTGTACGATTCACAACGGTACCCTTCGGACTTTTCACTGATCATGGTAACGTCGGCTTTGTTGTGTTCATTCAGTACTAAAGCACACAATAAGATCTTACGGTAATCTTGACACTATTTGAGAGATATACACACGATGTTCTCTGTCCTCGATGAACAGACAAAAATGTAGAGGATGCCGTTGTAAATCGTGCATTGGCCTCTTTGCATAGAGGGTCACTTAAAATTAAGCTTACAGTCCCTTTAATGATGCTAGTTGCGTTATTAATACACTCAATAGACATTTTTTTTTACTGAGACCTTGAGTATTCCTCTTGCTAAATCTGAGTATAAATAAATCAGAAAATATAAGCATTTATAATTCAACAGAAAGAACAAATGATAATCCTGATAATTTTCTGTTCACTTTTAGTATCAACACACATGTACACGCCACCTTGAACCAAAATATGCAAGTACATAGATTAACGCTAATTTCGGTAGTTTCTCCGTTTAAACTGAAGCTACAGGCTGTCCCACGAAACATAACAGTTTAAATAGTTTAAATGTCTTCTTCCATAATTTCTTAAGTTGTTTAATACCAAAAACAAGAATGAAAATATTAAATGGGAGTCATATTATAGTAAAATTAACTTCAAAGTAAAATATATTTGAGCAAAGGATTTTTTAAAGGAAATAAACTGCAAACAGTCTTTAATATCTAATACATTGCACGGAAGACGACATTCAAAACTAATAACCAACTGTCATGTTTCGTGGGACAATCTGAACCTTGCAGTATAAAAATGTACATTTCCATAGTATTAAAAAAAAGTAAAGGAAAGTTGATGAGGTAAAACCAGAGTACAAGACGTTGCGAAACTCTTTTAACTTTCATAACCTAAAGATGCTGATGCCAGTATTTGGATTAGATGATAGTTTGTTTGTAAAATTTTCTAAAACTCCATTTAAAGGGACTGTAAGCGTAATTCTAAGTGACAGTAAAGTGAGAACTCAAAACAGCTGATCCGTTTCTAGTGTCCCTTAAAAATATCAACTATTTTACGTTAAAACCGGGTTTTAAACATTAAAAAGTACAGTTTTATTTTCTGCCACTTACAGGAAGTAAATATTGATATTTTTCAAATATGTTTTTAACAGCTTATAAACAAAGTGTTTAACAATTAAAAAAATTAATAAGGATATATCTCAAATTCTTATTCAGTCAATAGTTTAAAAGGGATCGTTGTGAATCGGGGAATTCCCTCTTTAAATGGAGGGTCATTTGAAAATACGCGTACAGTCCCTTTAAACAATCTATTTGGTCTCCTAGGTTAGCTTGAGTGATGATAGTTGGTACCGAGCTCCACAGTTTCATCCAGAGGGTAATCAGGCTAGAAGAACAGATATAGGGGAGTATTATTATTATTATTATTGTTATTTTTATTTTTTTGAATATATATATATATATATATATATATATTGAGAGTGTGAGAGCCGAAGATGATGACGAATTCGTGGTGCTCCAGAAACCTATCGGAGAAATTAGGAAACCAAACAAAAGAAAGCAAATAAAAACAGCTTTTATTCATCAAATAATCTAGTTTTACATACTGTAAGATCCAATTGTAGAGTAGAAAGACCACTGTTGAAATATTCACGAAACACAGCAAAGTTCTCACCATAAACTCTATCTTTGCAACCTAATGGTGAAAACTTTTGATATTTCAAACTTCAAATCAAATTAAAATTAAATATTTTGTATGGACACAGAAACATAGTATATGTACAATAAAAAATGAAAACTTTTTGATATATTTGAATTCAAAGGCTGCTAAAATATAGGGATTAGAAAATTTGAAATTGAGGCGAATGTTTAATAGATCTAGTTTAAGGCTTATCAAATGGAATTTTAATAATGGTCAGGATTTAATAATTGTCATGTTGATTCTTAGTTTGGAGAGATGCCGCATTTTCAATTCCAGGGAATAGGAATAAAGGAAAGGGCAATGGCGCTGGTCTGGCATGAGAAAGCCAGTTTCACTGCTTTGCAGACGAGTTCGGTATCGCACACGCACACTCGTTTGGCACAGACACACAACATGACTACAGTCAAGGAAGTCATGGAAATTGCAGAATAATGTTGTCAATTATAATTAAGCTTGAATAACGACTATAGTTTATTGTAAACTCTAATCAAATTATATTCTTTACATGAAAATGTGGCTTATAGTGTTGACTTAAATATGTAAATAATATATTACATGCATTTTAAACTTACTTTTAAGTAAACAATTAACAATAAACAAATGTACTCTCCTAGACTGTAAAAATACCAAGATTCGTATGTACCGTATAAACCTACAAAACAGGCCTTCGGTTCGGTATTCCTTACACACACTCTTTTGGTACAGACACACACATGACGTTTCCGCCCCCTGTTCTATTCCCATGTTCTAGTCACAGGAATTATAGATCTGAACCTTGGCAGTAATTACTTTTCCCTACATATTCCTGGAAATACAAGGTTTACTAAATACATTTCGTATTTAAATATTCTAAAACTTTTCTAACTTGTCTATATCAGAACAGACCAACTTTATGTATTTCTCGGCCAGGAATACAAACAGTATTTGAGCCACATTCTCCTCATTTATTCTTCCGAACCGCCTCAAATGCTCTTCCTTGCACAATTATTTTTTTTTAGTTGCTTTTTTGATTAGTAACCCCTTTTTTCAAATCTGACCATAACCTTAACCTTAATCTTAACCTTAAAGGGACTGTTAAGGTAAAATAAAAGGGGGTATACGCTAAAGTATATAAATTGTTAGGCTTTATGCGCGACCAATGAATAGTTCTATATCTGTACCTGTCTCAAGAAATTGATGTAGAACTGTGTCTGAGTTATATGAAAACACACATGTAACATATGGTGGACGGAGCCAATTGACTAAATACTACACGGCCATTGTTGGAAATTATTAACACGTGATAGAGAAAAGACAAGATTGAAACAATTATATCTATCAAAAAAAATGAGTATTTAAATTATTATAGGAGTGTGCCTAAAATTTATAGGCTGCACCTCTAGTTTATCGTAATCTTTAGATTAGTTCCGTATTTACTTTATATGATCTGTTAGAACTTTGATTCCATATCACAAATGCATGAATTTTTGTACAACTTGGACACGGTTTTATATCACGTTCTCCGGACAGAGACATCAGATGGAACAAATATTATTTTTAGACTTTAGCCTACACCCCTTTTAATTTTTTAGAAAAAAACCTAAAATTTCTTGCGCAACTTTAATGTCAAAGCTTTTCTTATTTTTCTCTTAAATTCAAACGAACAATTTATCGATCTTTTAGCTTTGAATATCTGAGATTACAAATATTAGAGTATTTTTTTTAACATCATACTTTAGCTATAGACGTTAAACAATTACAAGCATTACCTATTTAGAGGCACTTAAAAGAGTAGTGAGGAAAATGTGGTTTAATCTTAGAATTCCCATCAGGAAAAATTAGGAGACAAACTTTCTTTCTTATAGTTAGGTAAAGTTTATCTTGTAGTTTGTGCTATTCTTGTAATAAAATTAGCTGGATATGTCTTTTACGCAGACAGAATATATAAACCATCTACTGCAGGTATAGTTCATAGAAACATGAATGGTACAAACCATCTACTGCAGGTATAGTTCATAGAAACATGAATGGTAGAAACCATCTACTGCAGGTATAGTTCATAGAAACATGAATGGTAGAAACCAGCTACTGCAGGTATAGAAACATGATTTGCCGATTTGACTCAAATTTTGATTGGGTAACTCGGCAGAACCATAGAAGTATTTAGTTTAATGGTTTGTTTATTTTTGTTGGAAAACACTGCAATTTTTAGCTAACCCTTAGCTCCCAATCTTGTACATCTTCTTCTATCTAATAAACCTCTTCGCTCATAAATATTTGTATGTATATATATGTTAGCTGTTGCTGGCCAAACGGCCGGCCGCCGGTCCGAATGCGTTGAATTTTTTTACGGAACCCTTGAGTACCCTAGGGGTAACATAGGCGAAAAATTCTATTTTTTTTCTTTAAAAATCCTGAACTTCTTTTCAAAAATATTTTTTTTTGTTTAATTCCACTGGCAACGCCGGGCATTTCAGTTTGTATAGCACTGAAAGTTCACAAGTTTTCATAAATATTTCTATCTAATTTATCATTTATTTTTTCAACGGTTTGGTTTAGGAAAGCGTTTTCTGACATGAGAGATAGACATTCAGGTTTAATTTTCTATAAGAATTTAGTATTTGCTACAAACTCAAATATTCTAATCCATCTTTGCAACCTGTGTAGATCTATAATATTTGAAATTCATAGTTTGAAATATAATAGGTTTCGAAATCAAGTTGCAAAGTTTTGGGCAAAAACTCAATTACTTCATTTTGATTTTAGACCCAGTTTCAAAGTATAATTAGCAAATAGTTAAAAATTAAAATCTAATAAAATGATCTTAAAATATTTGAAAGAGAAAGAAATGAATTTTTTCAAATTCTATTTTAGATATGTTTGAATTTAACAGTAAACGTCGGGCAACCCTGGTACTACCCTCCCATGGTAATAGTTTAATAGGAAGGGAAGGAGTGGAGAAGGTGATGAGTAGGTGAGGGAAGGAGTGGAGAAGGTGATGAGTAGCTGAGGAAAGGAGTGGAGAAGGTGATAAGTAGCTAAGGGAAGGAGTGGAGAAGGTGATGAGTAGCTGAGGGAAGGCGGGGAGAAGGTGATGAGTAGGTGAGGGAAGGAGGGAAGAAGGTGATGAGAAGCTGAGGGAAGGAAGGGAGAAGGTGATGAGTAGCTGAGGGAAGGAGGGGAGAAGGTGATGAGTAGGTGAGGGAAGGAGGGGAGAAGGTGATGAGTAGCTGAGGGAAGGAAGGGAGAAGGTGATGAGTAGCTGAGGGAAGGAGTGGAGAAGGTGATGAGTAGCTGAGGGAAGGAGTGGAGAAGGTGATGAGTAGGTGAGGGAAGGAGTGGAGAAGGTGATGAGTAGCGAGGGAAGGAGTGGAGAAGGTGATGAGTAGCTGAGGGAAGGAGTGGAGAAGGTGATGAGTAGCTGAGGGAAGGAGTGGAGAAGGTGATGAGTAGGTGAGGGAAGGAGTGGAGAAGGTGATGAGTAGCTGAGGGAAGGAGTGGAGAAGGTAATGAGTAGGTGAGGGAAGGAGTGGAGAAGGGGATGAGTAGCTGAGGGAAGGAGTGGAGAAGGTGATGAGTGGGTGAGGGAAGGAGTGGAGAAGGTGATGAGTAGCTAAGGGAAGGAGTGGAGAAGGTGATGAGTAGCTGAGGGAAGGAGGGGAGAAGGTGATGAGTAGGTGAGGGAAGGAGTGGAGAAGGGGATGAGTAGCTGAGGGAAGGGGGAGAAGGTGATGAGTGGGTGAGGGAAGGAGTGGAGAAGGTGATGAGTAGCTGAGGGAAGGAGTGGAGAAGGTGATAAGTAGGTGAGGGAAGAGTTAGCTCTCCAATGAAAACGTATCGTAAAGGGGAGTTTCAATTATAAAGTAGGCTTTAAACATTCTTGTACTCTTGTAGTGACTTTTATTCTTTAACGTATTTTACTCTAAAGATGTAACATTCTTTTATAAAGTTTTTCTTTCTTGCCAATGCTTTCCCTAAAAAAGACCCATATTTGTGTATTTGATCAGACATTACTTTTTTCTGTTTATATTCTGGGTTTTGTTTTAAATTGATGATTGTTTTGAAATGGGAGTCGTTACTAAAGTTGGACTTTGTTCCAAAACGCGACCAAGATTTGAATTTGGGAAAGTTATACTTAAATGGAAAATCTTGCATTGTCTTAATACTACTTTGAATTTAGGAACTTATCAAAAAATGATGTCTTCGTAGTGCTAAATAAAATATATATGGATTAATCTTCTGAGGATTGCCATAGAGTGAAATTCTGATAAATATTGAAATGTTTTAATTTGAAGCTGATTCGTTAAATATAGTTTTTATCAGGGAAGGCAAAATAAAACAGCTTATCTAAGACTCAGTGCTGGAATGGACCCGAAACCAGATTTGGAACTAATATCCGCTGTATTCAGGGTTTCACGAGGAAGATGAAGAAGAAGAGGAGGAAGAAGAAGAAGAAGAAAGTGGAGAAGATTAAATTAATCATAAAATATTGAATATTTTGGTTTTTAAGATAAATGTTTGTTTATTGTTAAACTTTAAGTCAACATGGAAACAGCAAACCAAAGTTTGTATCTCTCTAAAGCTTCTTATCTCAAGTTAGAAAAAAAATAAAATAATAATGTTTTTGTTCTCTTCGAATGTTTAAGTTTGAAAACTAATCAAATGAAATAGAGCCAAGGAAACAATTCATCAATCAAATTTAAATTCGTGAAATCAACGATTTTGTTGTTCTAAATACATACTTTATAGTTCTCCTTTATACCATCTTATTTTAACCCAACATTTTCTCATATTTTTTGACCCGACTAAAATTGTATATTTAGAAAATTTCAAATCAAAAATTAAATCTAGAAATCTAACAATAAAACATGATATATTCAGAAAAGATATTCAGAAAAGAAACCTAAATATTCAGAAAAGAAACCTTGATATCCAGAAAAAAACCTAGATATTCAGAAAAGAAACCTAGATATTTATAAAAGAAACCTAGATATTCAGAAAAGAAACCTAGATATTCAGAAAAGAAACCTAGATATTCAGAAAAGAAACCTAGATATTCAGAAAAGAAACCTAGATATTCAGAAATTAAACCTATTTTTAATATATTGATATTGCTATTAGAAAAAAACATCCTAGGTGCAGTAAAAATGTTACTTTCATATTTGAAAATAATATCTAGATATTTAAGAATAAAACCTATATATTTGAAACTGACACACCTACATATTTGAAACATTAAACTAGATATTAGAAACTGACACCTTAAAAAAAGTGACATTTAAAATAAAACCTACAAATTTAAAATTAAAACCTATATACCTAAAAAAAACCTATATATTTAAAAATAAAACCTACATATTTGAAAATAAAACCTCCAAATTAAAAAAAAAACCTACATTTTTTAAAATAAAAGAAAACCTAAATATTTAGAAGTTAAAAAGCTACATGATTTTAAACCGGCAATGTATGATAGTTGAACTGAGAATGTAGTATTGTAGAGTTTTTTGGGATTCATTTGAGACGTACCAGACGTTTTTATGGTGCATATTTGTTCAGCAAGCGCCCAAATTTAATCTTAAAAATGCTCATAAATTTTCCATTTTGGAGATCGGTTTTTTAAAAATTATTCAATGACGACCACAAAAAATGAAACAAAAAATCGACAGTAAAGTAAATTGTAAATTGTTTAGGAACGGGTTGAGAACATAAAACTTAACTCTTATCCTCGATAATAAGTAATCTAATACAGTTATTAGTTTCTGTAATGTCTCATTGTTCACAAACATTTTCTGTAGATTTCTTGTAATTGTTATTGAAAAAACAACATTTAAAGAATTTGTAGAAATCTGCGAAATTTTTTTTGAAAGAATAAGAAATTCAATATAATGATGAAAAGGAAATAATTGATTCTAACATTGATTTATTGACAAATTTCTATTGAGAAATATGTTACTGAACATCTAATTAGTGTACCTTAGAATTTTGTTTACATTTTTTGTCGTCGTTTTTTAAAAGTTAAAAAACGATTCTTAAAATCATCTCTCCAGAATGGACAATGAAAGAGGATTTAAAAATAAATTTGCACACTCTTGCTGAAGAATTATGCACCTTAAAAACGTTTCATATGTTTCAAATGAATCCTAAAAAAAATACTCTACAAATCTGCATTCTCAGTTCAACTACCATATGGTCACTCCCTTTAAAAATGAAACCTAATATTTTTTGTGAAGGGTAGGTTGCAGATACAGATGTATATAAATCATGCAGTGGATCAATTTCCGTCCATTCAATGAACTATTAGATTAGAGAGAGTATAGATTTATTTTTCAGCGTCAATTTTTGTTTTGTAAAAGTATGAACGGTTCCAAGAAAGCAGACTAAAGGAATTGTGTCTTTGCCACAAACTCTGATCTTCTAATCCCCAATTTCCATATCTTTGCATCTATGAATTCTGGTATATAAAATAATTAAAGTTTAAAATATCAAAGATTCTAACCATCAGTTTAAAAAGATATAGAGTATATAGTAGAGTAGAGTAGAGTAGATATAGATAAAAGAGTCGTAAATAATACTTTTCACCTCTCTAAAATAATTATTTTTACGATATCAACCATTTATTTACTTAGAATAAACAAATTACAGAACATATATATAACCTTTACACAACCAACAAAGAGTCGGAAAATTTAAGTTTTTAAGACAATTGTAAATAATTAAACAAACGTATAATTCTTTTGAGACTGATCAAAAGCCAAATATTACGAATTTAAAAGAATTTCTATTTAAAATCATAAGAACATTTCTGAAAATGATATAACATATTGATATACTAAGAACTTGATCTATGAAATTGTACGTAAAATATTTTTGTTTTATACACGTACATACAATATATAATATACATAAATACAATAATTTTAGTTTAGACATTTTAAATTATAGCAAAAAATAATAGCTAAAAAAATTAAATATTTCATAAAATATATTAAAATTTTTAACTTTTTTTACAAGAATTTATTCTAAAATTGTTTTGATTTGGTGTCATAACATAAACAATATTCATTTTAAACCTGAAGTCAGAACTCATCTCCATCTTACATACGCGCGCACAGATCAAGCGTTGAAGATTAGCGAGAATTCACACTAAAGTTCCGTTAAACCAGATAACATTAATATTTTTTTTCATACAGTGAAACCCTTAATAACGAATACATTGAAAGAATTCATCAAATTTCGTATTCTTCACTTTATGATAATGGAATGTTGCAGATATTTAGTTTTTTAATTAAATGATTATATAGAACTCTTTAAAACTGTTCCCGCATATTCATGGCTATTTATTTATTTTCGCAAATACTGAAATTTACGTAATATTGTATAAAACTCATTGACAAATTGTCAAGACGACATTTGATAAATTCTTCCGATGTATTCGTTATTAAGGGTTTCACTGTAATTAGACACGTGATTTAACATTTTACTAAACTACATAAAGGATAAATAGTTATTGGATACATCAACATAGATTAAATAGAGATTATATTTAGTGTTCGCAGCTAATTTATCAAACAGCTTTAATTAATTTTAAAAATAAAGTTCAATGACCTCAACCAAAATATCGGTCGTTGCCAAATATGTCTAGGTAAAGAATTTTTAAATGAAAGCTTATTGTGTTCTGATACAATAGTTGGGTTAACTTAAACTTAATTTGTAAATAAGACTTTATAAAATGTACGGTCTACAACAGGCGTATTGGAAACAAATTGCAAAAAAACTTTTTGACAATATTATACCATGAATGCATTCTACATGAATCATTGAAGGATTTAAGTCTTTACCAGAAACTTCTGATTTTCTAATCCCTATATCTTTACAACCCAATGTCATAGACTTTAGATATTTTACACTATGATCAAAAATATAAGGTTAAATATCATCCAATTTACACCATCATGTTGCAAAAATATAGAGATTATTTGAGCTTGTGGCAAAGACTCAATTTCTTTGTTAACAAATTTTCTAATTTAATTATCAATGAAATTGTGTTTATTTGCTTTTAATAATTAGATTGAAAAAATACACATTTTAAACATTTACAGAAACATTAAACATTACTTACAGAGCTGTAATTGAATATTTTTGAATATTTTTCTAGATATTTCATATTTACTCGTTTTCATTGTTCAATTTATCTATTTAAACAACCAAAGGTATTCGGGATTATAAATCTAAAAGTGTTAAATAAATAAAACATTTTGTCAGCTGGCCTAGGAAAAAAAAAATTCATAAGAAAATATGTACAATCTTTATTATATAAACTCTTAAATTGATAAAAATTATATAATATAATTCAACTTCATTTAAGCAACTCCTGGCTTCCTAGACCTGATATGTTTAAATCATGAAGAAACCCTAAGAACAATCAACAAAATGGTTACACGGCCGGATGTTCACGCTTCACAACGGATGATCATAATTAAATAACTATGATCACGAATACAAAATTGTGATAATGCAGATAATATGATCATGATAACATATGTTTACAAAAACAACATATATAAATGTTACAATTTGGATATATTGTGATTTTAAGATGATTCGCGGTGATAACGAGAATGATTAGAAAAGCAAAAATAAGATCATGATTACAAGATTGGAATCATTTTAAAAAGAGTATGATCCTGATTACATGAGTATGATCATGATTACAAAAATCGGATCAGGATTCCAAAGATATGATCATGATTCCAAGAGTGAGATCATGATTTAAAGAGTATGATCATGTTTACAAGAGTAGGATCATAATTCCAAGTGTTATCATGATTACAAGATTAGTATTATGATTACGAGAATAGAATTAGGATCACAAAAGTCGTATTATGATTACGAGAATAGAATTATGACTACGAGAGATTGATAAATTTCACATCCAGGTATTGGAAAATGTATATTCATGAATCATGAATGATACAAAGTAAAATAACATATTTAGTCTGTAGGTCGGATGATTAAGAAGTTAAGATCATAATATAGGTCATATAACAGATTTATGTTTTGCGTACGTTAATTAATAAACCCAAAAAATTAAAAGAAAATATTGAAAAAAAAACTAAATTTTGAAATATAATCATGAAATAAATAAAGAAAAACCTCAATTTTTAATTAAAGATTTGTATTTTGAGAATATTAATTGATAAACTCAAAAGATTATTAAATATAAATAAATTAACAAATAAATAAAAATATATATATATTTTTGTATATAAAATATTGAAGAAATTGCTTGTAAATTTAAAAATATCATCATAAAATAACTAAAAAAATTCTCCCAAACCTTTTTTAATGCTTTTCGACATAATTCTTAGATTTGTGGTGTTGTATCTCTGATACAGAGTTTAAAGAACACTACACTATGATCTTGTTTACACAATATCGGAACATGTTTGGAACATGTATGGAACATGTTTGTTGTTTTACATTAACAGAGTACGTATCATTCAATGATCCAGTACAAAAAGTGAAATATCCAGTAAATATAGTACACTGATCCAGTACAGGTAGTACACTGATCCAGTACATATAGTACACCGATCCAGTGCAGGTAGTACACTGATCCAGTACATACAGTACACCGATCCAGTACATATAGGACACTGATCCAGTACAGGTATTACACAGACCCAGTACAGGTAATGCACTGGTCCAGATCATATAGCACACTTATATTTATTACATATTTTTGATGATCCAGTACATATAGTTTACAGATCGAGAACATGGTTAATGATTCAGTACATATAGAACATTGATTCAGTACATATAATAGCACACTTATTCAGTACATATAGTCCACGAATTCATCAAGCACATTTTACTTCAAATTCTGCAGATAGCCGGCTCTTTAAATTCTTCGTTGTTTAAGAATCAGTGGGAGAATTATACCTAGAGAATAAAAAATAATTTTTTCCCTCAAAACCTGGGCTCGCAGAGATTTTTACAAAAATTATTTATTAATTTAACATCAAATACATCTTGGTTATTGAGTTGAGTACATTTTCACAAGTGGTATAATCTCTAATATTATAGTCCGACCATTGGTTTTATTTATATTGGGACTGTCGACGGCCTTTTATTTATAGAGGTACTTTCGATTCACAACAGTACCTTTTAAACTCTCATCTCAGCAAGCATAATGAAGATTTCCTTGTTATTCTAAAAATTGATTATTTTTACTATGTTTTCTTGGTAAAAAGGACTTGCAGATTTGAGAGAAAAAGTAGGATATTTAACACTTCAATTAAGATAAAAAACGAAAACTGTAAAAGGTACTGTTGTGTATCGGACACGCAGCTCTTAAATAAAAGCCTTAATTAAATTACTTTGGCAGTCTCTCCAAAAAGGACATATTCAATTTTCAGAATCTGGTTTGATCTGACCTGACAAACATTTATCTCATCAGGGTTAGTTTCTACTTCTTCTCCTCCCTCTGCCTTCCTTGTTGTCATCTCAACCTAAAGATAAACAATTCATGATTTCATTAAAGATGAAAAAATAGCTAATTCAATGATCTACAATGATCAATGTTAAATGATTGATGATCTACAATTAAAGAATGATCAATCATTTATGAAATTATCATTAATCGGGATTGATTATCACAAAATCAAAAATGATCATTCATGATCATCTATTATGTTAAATGATCATTCATAATGATAAATGATCATCAATGATCACAAAAATCATCAATAATATTCGACAAAAGAATAGTAAAATAAACAAATGTTTAAAGTTTATTCTTATATTTTCATTTTCTCAAGACAGGAGCATTGAGTTATATACTTACCAGCGAAAGTGTTTTCTCAATAATTTATTCATAATGTTTCAAAATGAAATATAAATTTTGAAAGATAACTATTGTTAGTAATTGCAAGAGTGGTTTTTGACAACACTGGTATACACAACACAACTTGAAAATAGGATAGGAAGAATGGATCAGAAATTGATCAGAAATGGATCAGAAAAGGATCATGAATGGATCCGGAAGGGATTTGGAATGGATCAGGATGGATCTGGTAAGGATCATGAATGGATCATGAATGGATCAGGAATGGATCAGGAATGGATCAGGAATGGATCAGGAATGGATCAAGAATGAACTAGGAATGGATCAGAAATTTATAGGAATAGGATCAGGAATATATCGGAAAATAATCAGGAATGGATCAAGAATGGATCATGAATGGATCATGAATTGATCATGAATGGATTAGGAATGGATCAGGAATGGTTCGGGAATGGATATGGAATGGATCAGGAAACGATCAGGAATAGGTTAGGAATAGATCAGGAATGGATCAGGAATGAATCAGGAAACGATCAGGAATAGGTTAGGAATGAATCAGGAATGAATCATGAATGAATCGGGAATGAATCAGGACGGTATCGGGAATGGATCAGGAATAGATCAGGAATGGATAAAGAATGGATCAGGAATGGATAAAGAATGGATCAGGAATGGATAAAGAATGGAACAGGAAAAGATCAGGAATGGATCAAGAATGGATCAGGAATGGATCAGGAATGGATCAGGAATGGATCAGGAATGGACCAGAAATTAATCATAAATGGATCATGAATGGATCAGGAAGGGATTAGCAAAGGATCAGGAATAGATAAGGAATGAATCATGAATGAATCAGGAATGAATTAGGAATGTGTCAGGAATTTATCAGGAAAAGATCAGGAATGGATCAAAAATGGATCATCCATGGATCAGGAATGGATTAGGAATGGATCAGGAATGGATCAGAAATGGATCAGGAATGGATCAGGAATGGACTATTTTTAAATCATGGATTACATGACTTACATTAGTATATCAGTAGTTCCTAAATAAATGTTGGACATTTAAAAGAAATGGATTATAGATGTTTTAATCCAGTCCTGCTACCAGACCAAATTCTCGCAACTTTTACAAATGATTTATCGACTGTAATTTTGACAATTTAGTTTGTGCTTGAAACATTATTTTGTTGCTCGACAGCACATTTGATCAATCATCTTCATTTTATTTCTAGGGCCCGTCATTAAGTGAGTTGCATGCAAGATTGGCGGTATCCTCTCAGCCGTTATCAGAGCAAGATTGAGGAAGATATCGTCGTTTTTACCTAAAAATGTGTTCATTGCCACCCATTTCATCCTTATCTTGACCGTATGAATCCAAAAATCACTTTTTATCGAGAAATCACAATAGATTTATCAAACAGAATAATTTATCAGATTCCAAAAACGAGAAGGTCTTTGTCATTCTTTTAAGGGTACCGTTGTGAATCAAGCGTGTCCACTGTCCCTCTTCTAATAGAGGGTCACAATAACTTTAAACTTTAAATGGGAATACTCCCCCAACAAATTCAAAACACTTTTTATTCTTAAGTGGAAAAAGTAATAAAAAAATTCACATCAACATTCTTTTTTACTTTAATATTGAAACAAGTTTTGTTTGAAGTCGGTGTGATTTTTTAATTCTCTTCTTATCAGACTGGAAAATCTAAAACCATGATATTGGTGTTGAATTGTCCTACCTGATTATTTAATGGTATTTCTCCTCCTTGTCCATTTTCTGCGATCTCAGGCCTAATTATACACAATGTTTTAGATGAGTTTAGTAGCATGTTTGCAACCAAATAGATTCTCGTACAATAGATTGCAACGTAGAATTTGTACAATCTCAGTACAGCTGTATTCTGACGTCACAAGTGTCAACTCATTTTTTGTGTCCGACAAATTACTAATAATAGTGATAATTTTAGAATAAAGTGCTTATCTTGCAGTACAATAAATGCAATTTTAGGTGTTCTTTATTTTCTGTTTTTACACTTTTTTATTTAATTTTGGAAAACATATCAACTAATGTGAGAAAATTTCTTTTGCCTTGTTAAATTTGACACTTGTGACGTCGTGTATAATTGGTCCATTTCTCTGTTGCCACGTATTGTACTTGATTATCTATTTGCTTGCAACTAAACATTGACAGATTTTTAAGTTTAGACTTTTGAATCTTAAGAAATCTAGGATTTTAGATGGCTTTAATCAAAATATTTTGACCTTGATTGTGATTTGTGGTTAAATTTATTGAAAGTCGTCTTTGTTTGTTGCTACCTTGCTTTGCAGAGAACCTTCAACCAGTCAGGCAGTGGGCAAGCAGAGGTCAACGCTGTCTAAACACAAGGAGATAATTAACAGTCTATACCTGGTTGAGATTACTTTGTCAGCTATAAAGCTTAATTAATGACATTATCTGACATTTTTAAAGATTTAGCTGTTTTCCTTTAGTTTATATCTCCTTTCAAAAACATAACACAAAGAACATTTAATTCCAAATAACAGATTTTCACATTCGTAATTCTATCTGTAGGTTAGAAATAAGTACCATTGGATTTATAGTTTCAACTTTTAACCAGATTAAATTGAATCATTTACAAATGATTTAAACTTTGAATTTTGCTGAATGGTAACCCAACCAACGGAAAAGGTGTAGCTACAAAAGTAATGCAGCCCAGGTACAAAAGTACAAAATATCCATACAGTACAAAAATGGTACATACCTTGAACTGTGAGGATACAGAGCAGTACACCAGGAAGTTTGAAGAGAAGTTCAACATTACAAGAAGATGTGCTACACTCTCTAAACAAATCAAAACTTTCAAATATGGAAAAAAAATATCTGTAAAAAATATTTCATAATTATTGATCTGGAGGAATGTTCCTATTCTAGACTTGGGTTTTTAACTTCAATTCTATTGAATGAATGCCCCAGCTGGATCTCTTTTAGGGCTTTCAAAGCATTCTGATTGAACTTGGAGCTACTTCTAATTTAAATTCGACTATAATCCAGAATATTAAGTATCTTTGAACCATCTCCTTAAATATTGTGTGACAGTAAAGAACAAAAGCATGTTTAAGATTTATGAAGTTTCCTGCTTAAGTGATTTATGAAGTTTCATGATGAACAAAACTAAATGTATGTTCAAGATTTATGAAGTTTCATGATGAAGAAAACTAAATGTATGTTCAAGATTTATAAAGTTTCATGATGAACAAAACTAAATGTATGTTCAAGATTTATGAAGTTTCATGATGAACAAAACTAAATGTATGTTCAAGATTTATGAAGTTTCATGATGAACAAAACTAAATGTATGTTCAAGATTTATGAAGTTTCATGATGAACAAAACTAAATGTATGTTCAAGATTTATGAAGTTTCATGATCAACACAACTAAATGTATGTTCAATATTTATGAAGTTTCATGATTAACAAGATTAAATAATTAAATATTTTGATTCCTAAACACATAATCCAGAGAGGAGGAATATACTGCTGATAATCCCTCATGCAGGAGACCTGAACATCTAAACACAAAATATTTATAAAAAATATCAAACGGGAAAAAAAACTTTAAAATTTAAAACTACAATTCAGTAAAAATAAAGTTAAATTGCAGCTTTGACGTAATTTCAAGCGATTCCTCGTTCATAGAGTAACATCTTCTATTTACAACGGTACGCAAGATTGTATCGCAGACACAACTTGTTGTTAATGGTTGTAGAAATAAAGATATTGTACGATTCAACCGGGGGGCGGAAACGTCATGGGGGTGTGTCTGTACCAAAAGAGTGTGTGTAAGGTTACCGTACCAAAGGTGTGTACTGTAGGTTTATACAGTACGTAAGAATCTCGGTATTTGTACAGTCTAGGAGAGTTTATTGTTAATTGTTTACTTAAAAATAAGTTGAATGCATGTAATATATTATTTACATATTTAAGTCAACACTATAAAGCCACATTTTAATGCAAAGAATATAATTTGATTAAAGTTTACAATGAACTACTCGTTATTCAAGTTTAATTATAATTAACGACATTGTTCTGCAATTTCCTTGACTGTAGTCATGTTGTGTGTCTGTACCAGAAGAGTGTGTGTAAGGTTACCGTACTTGTCTGCAAAGCAGTGCGACTGGCTTTCTCATGCCAGACCAGCGCCATTTCCTTTCCCTTTATTCCTATTCCCTGGATTCAACTAGCATTTACACGGTCGTCTTTGCGCGCTGTGAGTGTATTTTCTGTAAATATTGCTAACTAGGCACTCACAATATTGCAGATTTTACTGGCCATATATATATATTTATCGGACATTTTTAAATAATTTGATAAAACATGATTTTTTTTAAATCGAAGGAAAATTGTTTGCAATAATTATCTTCAAAGTTTATTTCCAGTTTTACATTTTTTGCCACAGATATTGCGTAAACAATTCTTTAAAGATACTGAAAATGTTATTGCAAGTGATCCTTTATGCAAAGATCACACTTGTATGCCGATTCCATTATCGCCTGATCCAATCAGGGTTCGGTCATGTGTTTGGTGTCTATTCTGAACCAATAGATATTGCGTGGCGGTAAAATCTACCTTTCTCAGTGGAAGGATATTATATCAATACAATGAAGACAACTTTCGATTTCAATTTTTTATTTTTATCATCTGTTAAACAGCATGAATACACATCATACACATATAAGTCAAGAGAAGATGTCAAGTAAAAAAGCTTCTCTTTGTTTACTTGTAAACTTTTAATTCTCAAAAATCTTGATAAAAATAAAAACTTAATGAAAAAAAGTCGTCTTCAATGTATTGATATAATCGCCTACCACTGTATCTATCTCATCATCCAATTAGAGATGAATCCTTAAATTATCGCTAAGCAGAAAATGGAAACATTTACTTCTACTGAAGCTGAAGTGAGATGGCAATGCCCGCATTACAACGGTACCCTTGAACCCTTCATCAAATCAAAAATGTGAAAGATACCGTAGTTTGTCGGACTCGAACAGTGTTTATTTCTGTGCTTTACTTGGTTACAAGGAATGCGTAAGTCACTTTTGCAGAGAAACCGCAAATGAAAATAAAATAAAACAAAAACATTGGTATCTTATTCATACTAGATCAGACAAAGCTTTGAAGGGTACCTTTGTAAATCGGACATTGCCATCTTTGCAAATATGACAAATGTGACAACTGGAAATCATGCTTACAGTCACATCAAGGGTACCATTTTAGATTTTTCAATTTCGGATAAAAGATGAAAATAAGATTAAGTAAAGTTTGATGACTAAGGTTGGATTTAACAACAAAGCACTAAATTTCCCAAAGTTCTGAACTAATATTATCCAACAAGTTTAGAGAACTGACACAGTTCCAGAATGGGATGATACAGGAATATAGGAATATATCTAGGTATGATACAGGAATATAGGAATATATCTAGGTATGATACAGGAATATAGGAATATATCTAGGTAAGGATACAGGAATATAGGAATATATCCAGGTATGAATACAGGAATACAGGAATATATCTAGGTATGATACAGGAATATAGGAATATATCTAGGTATGGATACTGGAATACAGGAATATATCTAGGTAAGGATACAGGAATACAGGAATATATCTAGGGATGGATACAGGAATACTGGAATATATCTAGGTATGATACAGGAATGCATGAATATATCTAGGGATGGATACAGGAATACAGGAATATATCTAGGTATGGGTACTGGAATACAGGAATATATCTAGGTATGGATACTGGAATACAGGAATATATCTAGGTAAGGATACAGGAATACAGGAATATATCCAGGTATGGATACAGGAATACTGGAATATATCCAGGTATGGATACAGGAATACAGGAATATATCTAGGTATGGATACAGGAATACAGGAATATATCCAGGTATGGAGACAGGAATACAGGAATATATCTAGGTATGGATACATGAATACAGGAATATATCTAGGTATGATACATACATGAATACAAGAATATATCTGGGTATGAATACAGGAATATATCCAGGTCCGGATACATGAATACAGGAATATATCTAGGTATGGATATAGGAATACAGGAATAAATCTAGGTAGGATACAGGAATACAGGAACGTATATGTGACTGTACCTAAGTAACATATCAAGGAAAATAGGAATACATAGGAATAGATCTATTTATGGACACAGGAATACAGGATACAGAAACAGAAAAAGAAAAAAAAGTTTTTGACAAATTCACAAATGTTTGAATGATACATGAACATAAACAGATAAATGAAAGATTAGAGCCCATCTCCAAACCAAATGAAAAAAAAAAAAATATTAGAAGGGAAACTTCACTGTTTCTCCAATCTGAATTGATTGAGTTAGTTTGTAAAGAAAACACTCACCAACTAGCAGAACAATCATGACACCCAGGAAAACCCTGATTTTTTATAAATTCTTCATATATATGGAAAAATCTAGCTCTCAAAAGTTTTTTGTTTAAAAACTTTCCTATGGATACTTTTGGAACATTTTTAGAAAACAGGCCAATTTCAATGACGAAAAATGTATATTATCAGATTTTTAACTTTAAAAAGCAATGTAGTTATTGCATAAGTGATTAATATTTAGCAATTGATTTAATTTGTATGCTATTTGCTTATAGCAAAGGATTGCAGGAAATTTAACAAGTAAGATTGTTAATACTAAAATAATGCAATTGCAAGCAATATTTTTTTTTTTTTTTAAACTTAAAAGTTAAAAAAAGCTGAAGGCTTTAAATTTTGGAAGTATATTGTTTTGTTTAATCTGTAGAAATCTTAAAATTTTGAAACTTTGTAATAAACCCGAAATAAGTGGGAACACGAAAGATGAGTTTATTCCTAAGCGCGTTGCAGAGAAGATGCATGAAGACGATTGATATGAGAGTTATCGCTAGATTAGATTCACTTGCTCTCTTGTGGTTTCTCCTCCCAGATAGGATCTAAAGGAATCATTAATACTATAAATATCATTTAGAATATAAAGCTCTTCGCTATATATATATATGTATTTGCAAATATGTTAGCTTAGCTGGCCAAACGGCTGAACCGAATGGGCTGAATTTTGTTGAGGGAACCCCTGGGGGTAACATAGGCTAAAAAACTCAATTTTTTTTTCAGCTGGTTATTAGTATTATCATTATTATTTTTATTATTACTATTATTATAATTAATATTGTTATCATTATTATTATTATTTTATTATTATTATTATTATTATCATTATTATTATTTTTATTATTTTCAATATTTTAATATTATTATTTACTCTTTGTACTTTGTAATACTAAAAATTTCACTATTTTTCTCATATCATACACACACCTAGATCTTAAATATATTCTTTAATATATACTTCCCAGTTACATTGATTAAAGGTTTTTCTCTTCTCCAAATTCAATATAACCAAGCAATTGGTTTTCTATTCTTCTTTCCTTGATATTAAAATAAACCATGCAATTGGTTATTCTCCTTTCCTTGATGTTAAAATAAACCAAGCAATTGGTTTTCTATTCTTCTTTCCTTGATATTAAAATAAACCAAGCAATTGAATTCTATTCTTCTTTCCTTGATATTCAAATAAACCAAGCAATTGGTTTTCTATGACTCTCTATACTGTATAAATGTATGACTCTCTATACTGTATGAATGTATGACTCTCTATGCTGTATAAATGTATGATTCTATAGCTGTATACATGTATGACTCTCTATACTGTATAAATGTATGATTCTATAGCTGTATACATGTATGACTCTCTATACTGTATAAATGTATGATTCTATAGCTGTATACATGTATGACTCTCTATACTGTATAATTGTATGACTCTCTATGATGTATGAATGTATGACTCTCTATGCTGTGCAAATGTATGATTCTATAGCTGTATACATGTATGACTCTCTATACTGTATAAATGTATGACTCTCTATGCTGTACAAGTGTATGATTCTATAGCTGTATACATGTATGACTCTCTATACTGTATAAATGTATATACATGTATGACTCTCTATACTGTATAAATGTATGACTCTCTATGCTGTATACATGTATGACTCTCTATGCTGTATAAATGTATATAGCTCTCTATGCTGTATAAATGTATGACTCTCTATACTGCATACATGTATGACTCTCTATGCTGTATAAATGTATATAGCTCTCTATACTGTACAAATGTATGATTCTATAGCTGTATACATGTATGACTCTCTATACTGTATACATGTATGACTCTCTATGGTGTATAAATGTATATAGCTCTCTATGCTGTATAAATGTATGATTCTATAGCTGTATACATGTATGAATCTCTATACTGTATACATGTATGACTCTCTATACTGTATACATGTATGACTCTCTCTATGCTGTATAAATGTATATAGCTCTCTATGCTGTATGAATGTATGATTTTATAGCTGTATACATGTATGACTCTATGAAGGTAATTATTTCTCCCATATTTGTGAAATTAATTACTAATCAATGTGTATTCAGCTTCTAATAAATAGAAACCTCAGTCAAATTTATATATTTATTTTTATCCTTCGTTTTTCTTTATTTAATCGTGTTTACTTCTCATCTTTTATTTTATTTTTTATTTCAATGCTTCATTTAGATTATTATTTTTCAAACTAGAAACCTTTAAACCTAGTGTACTGTCTGGGAGGAATATAAACAAGCCCAATAAAATACGCAAGCGTTGTATTCCCAAACTTGTTTTAAACAAAAATAATTAATCCTGTAGGCTGAAGTGAATTAAAATCATTTAAGTTAACATCTTGTCTTTATTTTCTTCAACAACATTTTTCTAAATTTTAAAGACATTTTTTTTTATTAAAAAAGCAAATATTTTTGACACAATTCATTGAAATTCTTTGAAAGATTATATTTATTGACATCCTTGAACGAATATGTATTATTTGATAAACTGCATGCCATTGACATCCTAGAATGACATCATATGATAAAGCTCTTTGCTAATATATATACATTAGGGTGTATGGGTGTATGTATATATGTTAGCAAGAGCTCGTCAAACGGCTGGACCGAATTGGCTGAAATTTTTTGAGAAAACTCATGGGTACCCGGGGGTAACATAGGTTAAAAAATCATTTTTTTTCAGAAATCAAAAATTATTTTTTTAATTCTACGGGCAACGCCGGGAACTTGAGCTAGTACTACATAAATGTCATTAAGCTCGTTGAAGGAGCTAACCTGTCTGCTCTTCCTGATCCCGATGAAGATGTGCATGTTCATGTATAGGAGCGCGATGAAGGGTAGGATCCCCGTGGTGAGGGTAGGATGCCAAGCTAGAGATAGTGTATACCAGAATATGAAGGTCGGATCCTTCCTACAAGTAATGGAAATGTTATCGATCAAATATCTTCTTCATTATTAAATAAATAAATCGTAAATTTTCGAACAATATTAAACAAATTTTTAAACTTAATCTGTTTTATCCAAAAGTGTCATTTTAGTCCAGTTTTTTTTGCCTCCAATTCATATTTGTACAAAACTCTACTTGCACAAATTATTTTGCTGACGTCAACAAAACATCTAATTAATAGCCAAACATTTATATAATTGGTTATTTTAAATCAAGGATTTTATCAAAATTTTGCATCAATTTTAACCTTTTATGTGAATTATCTAAGTAAAAATCTGAACAATTGCCACAAAATCTAATTACAAATATACATATATGCAACCTTTTAATATTTCAAATATGAATTCTGCTAGATTAATATTCAAAGTTTAAAATAAGACAGGTTTTTCATAGGAATTTAAAATTAAATTTGAATATTATTTAAAGCGCGCGCTTTGGTCCCGTTGGTCTTTAACATTTAACTGACTTTGACTAGGATCTACAGCATTAGTCTCATTGGTCTAAAACACTTTAACTAACCTTGTCTGACTAGGATCTACCAAATTAGTCACGTTGCTCTTTAACTTTTACTGACCTTGTCTGACTAGGATCTACAGCATTAGTCCCGTTGGTCTAAAATACTTTACTAACCTAGTCTGGCTAGGATGCACCAAATTAGTCCAGTTGGACTAAAATACTTTAACTAACCTTGTCTGACTAGGATCTACAGCATTAGTCCCGTTGGTCTCTGTAATTGTAACTTCCATAAATTTAGGAATGTTGAGGGCGAATGATAATGCTGTTACTGGGATAATATAGACGAGTATTCTTCTTGTGTTGGTCATTGTCTAAATTATTTAAATATTAATATATGACTAGATGGAGAACCCGGCATTGCCCCAGGTTTATATAATTAATAATTATTTAAAGAGAGTGACCGGCAATGTATGGTAGTTGAACAGAGATTGCAGTAAAAATATTTTTAGGAATCGCAATTGCGCTCATGCTTAACAAATATGCACCGTAAAAATGTCTGATATGTCTCAAATGATCCCTAAAAAATTCTCAATAATACTGCAATCTCAGTTCAATAACCATACATTGCCGATCACTCACTTTAAGTCATAGTTACTCTCGCCGTCTACCCGCTCTTTATTTTGTTTAAATTATAATTTTAGCTGAAGTGCCCTAATTCCAAAAAATAGTAGTTTATGTCACCCTGGCATGGGCTCCCTCAAAAAATGTCAGCTAATTTGGCCGTTTGGCAAGCTATAGCGAACATATATGTAAATACTTGTATACATATATGTTAGTGAAGAGCTTTATTGTATAGATGAAGGGCTCACAGTGCATGATAGAAATGTTTGGTCTAAAAATCAGCAAGCTTTCATCTATGGACCCAACATCCCAATAACATATTAATGTTTGAAGATTTTTTGTTATTTCACATCTGAAATTTCTCTGTTGAGCTTTACTATATTAGTATATAATTGCCGCTACACTTTATTTTACATATTGAAACGTCTCCTGAGTTTATTTTAAACAGCCTGGACTACTTTGTGTTTGATGGTTTGGGCTGGTTATACTTTTAAAATGTGTAATGATTAAAAAAGTCAAAAAATGTTAAAGAACATGGAAATACAGAGGGAAGGGGGGGGGGTTGGCTTCGTTCCCCCCTAACCCTTTTTTCCCTCCCTTGGCCTTAGTAAGATTTGAACAAATAATTACCTGTGAGATTGTTCTGTATTGATGTGGTCTGCAAACAGCAATATATCGTTCTATTGTTACAGCCAGTGTCATGTAGGTAGAAGCACAGAATGCTACAGCTGACATCGGGTACAGCAAGTATACATAAATCTAAATAATGCAAAAGATAAACACGATTTTTATGCTTTTTAATTTCAACATTATTTACATTGAAAAGTTAAATTTAACTTTAAAATTGTTAAAGTACAGTAAGAAACATAAGACAACCTTACTGAAGACTAAAATTATGATTTCAGCCCTGTACTTGAACTGAACCGTACAGCTTGCTCTAGTCGGCCATATAATTAAACTGAACCGTACAGCTTGCTCTAGTCGGCCCTGTACTTAAACTGAACCGTTACAGCTTGCTCTAGTCGGCTCTATACTTGAACTGAACCGTACAGCTTGCTCTAGTCGGCCTTGTACTTGAACTGAACCGTACAGCTTGCTCTAGTCGGCCCTGTACTTGAACTGAACCGTTACAGCTTGCTCTAGTCGACTCTATACTTGAACTGAACCGTACAGCTTGCTCTAGTCGGCCCTATACTTGAACTGAACCGTACAGCTTGCTCTAGTCGGCCCTATACTTGAACTGAACTGTACAGCGTGCTCTAGTCGGCCCTATACTTGAAGTGAACCGTACAGCTTTCTCTAGTCGGCCCTGTATTTGAACTGAACCGTACAGCTGGTTCTAGTCGGCCCTATACTTGAACTGAACCGTACAGCTTGCTCTAGTCGGCCTTTTACTTGAACTGAACCGTACAGCTTGCTCTAGTCGGCCCTATACTTGAACTGGACCGTACAGCTTGCTATAGTCGGCCCTATACTTGAACTGAACCGTACAGCTTGCTCTAGTCGGCCCTATACTTGAACTGGACCGTACAGCTTGCTCTAGTCGGCCCTGTACTTGAACTGAATGGTACAGCTTGCTCTAGTCGGCCCTGTACTTGAACTGAACGGTACAGCTTGCTCTAGTCGGCCTTGTAGTTGAACTGGACCGTACAGCTTGCTCTAGTCGGCCCTATACTTGAACTGGACCGTACAGCTTGCTATAGTCGGCCCTGTACTTGAACTGAACCGTACAGCTTGCTCTAGTCGGCTCTATACTTGAACTGAACCGGGGTTTACAATGTACGGTACTTACACGTATATTATCATACAGAGATAACAATGAATACTAAATCAAGACAACTTTTATATTGCTTAATTCTGGCTTTCGCCGAAACTTTTGCCTAAAAGCCAAAAATTTGTTTTCAAAGTTTCTGAATCTTTTTGTTTGATGGCTTTGAAAGTTGTTGAGGGGAGGATTTGAAGGGGTTTAGGTTTAATTCTTATATACATCAGCAGGGATTTAAACTTCCACACCAGGTTCATTTATCGTCTTTTAGATCATCATAAAAACCCTTTAACAGTCCTTTAACAGTCCTTTAACTGTCCTTTAACAGTCCTTTAACAGTCCTATAACAGTCCTTTAACTGTCCTTTCACTGTCCTTTAACAGTTCTTTTACAGTCTTTTAACAGTCCTTTAACAGTCCTTTTACAGTCTTTTAACAGTCCTTTAACAGTTCTTTCACAGTCCTTTAACAGTCCTTTAACATTTCTTTAACAGTCCTTTAACAGTCTTTTAAGAGTCCTTTAAAAGATCTTTAACAGTCCTTTAACTGTCCTTTAACAGTCCTTTAACAGTTCTTTCACAGTCCTTTAACAGTCTTTTAACAGTCCTTTAACAGTCCTTTAACAGTCCTTTAACAGTCCTTTAACAGTCCTTTAACAGTCCTTTAACAGTCCTTTAACAGTCCTTTTACAGTCTTAAAACAGTCCTTTAACAGTTCTTTAACAGTCCTTTAACAGTCCTTTAACAGTCATTTAACAGTCCTTTTACAGTCTTTTAAAAGTCCATTAACAGTTCTTTAACAGTCCTTTACAGTCCTTCAACAGTTCTTTAACAGTCCATTAACAGTCTTCTAACAGTCCTTTAACAGTCCTTTAACAGTCCTTTAACAGTCCTTTAACAGTCCTTTAAAAGTTCTTTAACAGTCCTTTAACAGTCTTTTAACAGTCCTTTAACGGTCCTTTAACAGTCCTTTTACAGTCTTTTAACAGTCCTTTAACAGTCCTTTAACAGTCCTTTAACCGTTCTTTAACAGTCCTTTGACAGTCTTCTAACAGTCCTTAGCAGTCCTTTTACAGTCCCTTAACAGTCCTTTAACAGGCCTTTAACAGTTCTTTAACAGTCCTTTAACAGTCCTTTAAGAGTTCTTTAACAGTCCTTTAACAGTCTTTTAACAGTCCTTTAACATTCCTTTAATAATAAAAAGGAAAAATATTACAAATATAGATATAAGAGAAATTGGTCAGGGTTGAATAAAAACTTCGCATTGACCATATTTTATCATTTATCAAGAATAAATCCTACACAACAACTTTTAAGCTATTTCGGTCCTGTACATTGCTTTTATGTTTACTTTAAAAAGTAAATAAAAAACTTTTCCTGTTTAGGATAGTGATAGAAAGAATAAAAAAACTTTATTTTAAAATACATGACTTAAATACAGGGTTAACCACACAGGATAAGACTGTAAATACGACCTGAAACTAATAAAATATGACAATTACAAGGTTAACGAAAGAACTCAGTTTAAAGTTGCAGAAATCCTAAATATAAGTATAGTCGTCTCTGAAGTCTTATCCTTTATGGGTCACCCTGTACATGTTTATAACTTTTATTCAAATTTAAAAAAAGTGTTTTTCAATCTTTTAGACTAAAAACTGTGTCCACAATTCAAAGAATGTGTCCAATTTTCATCTTTTTTTAATATCCCAGGAAAAGATTTACACCTTTCTAAGGTATATTTTTTGTAGAATGTTTTTTTTTTTCAAGGAAAAAAAACAAGATGGTAGATCTGAATTATCTTGTAATTTTAATTCTCTCCAAATTAAAATTGAAACTGATTCTTTTCTCTACTTTTGCGGGGTTTAATTAAAGTAGAAACAGGGAAGAGAAGGAAGGCAGGAATGAGGGGGGGACATTAAATTCGGTTATATCACCTCATTTTTGAAGCAAAAAGTTCAGATAATGTAATAAAGGCGCCTAGGGGGTAGCGAGCAAGGAAAAAAGCAGCCAGTAGAAATTTTGAAAAATAACCATCCGTGGAAAAATGGCAAAATGGGGAAAATATTAATTTATTAAAATCAAATACCAAGATTTCATAAAAAAAAACTTCATCATCGTCTCCTCACATTATAAATTCACTGATTTCAAACATTTCAAACAATATAAATTTTCTGGGGGAGGGCTCAAAATTTGCAACCTGTGCCTTTGTGAACAGTAAACCAATTTTTTGACGAAAAGAAAGATAATGTATTGGAACTATACCATGCAATACACAATACACATAAACTAACAAGACACACATTAAAGGTTTAAAGTGGACTATTGTAAATCGGGTGTTGCCCTCTTTGCATGGAGGGTAACTTGAAATTACACATTTTAAAGGCTGTGTATTTATCCCTGGTTCTCTAGCTAGCTATAGAGGAATATACATTGTCATCAAAAATGGATCATTGGCACAAAATGAAGTAAAGATTGATGTAGTTTCCGTTCCTATGATATATATATATCTGTATAAAATGTATATATATCTGTATAAAATATATATATATATATATATATATATATATATTATATTTACAAAGATTTATTCACACACAAAGATATAAATACATATATAAATGGTGTAGTTTAAATTTGTTTCAATAATTTTTTGGGGAAAATACAGGTTTCCAAAAGAAAAGGAGAAAAAATATGCAAAATTATGCACAGATTGAAACCATTGATTTTTACTCATTACATAACATATTTATCATTTCAGTTATTACGTAATCATCGAATCCTTCAACATATAAATTATTCTTTCTTGTATTTAAAAGTTCTTGTAAAACCGGAACTATCCATGCATGTTCCAATCGGACATCAAAATATTTCATTTTTTTCTTAACTAACATTTTACTAAGATCCGAAGGATTTACAGAACAATCATTTGCAATAGAAAATAAATTTCTGCCAAGAACTGTGTTAAGGTCATTTTTACATAAATTCGAAAGAAATCTAATGCAAAGCTTAGAACTTGCTTCAACAGTCTCATAGAAAGACACACATCTGCTAGCTAACATAGTTTTTACATGTAAACATTGTGAAATACTTTCAATCAAGTACCTATGCGTATCTCTAGGTACATTAAAAAGAATTCTAATAGCAGTATTCCATGCTGTATACAATTTTGAAACACATTGGTAACTCAAGTCCCAAATACTAGATCCATAAAAACTACAACAGTAAATATTATACAGTTTCAAAATAACATCAGGACTGTTAAAATAAAATTCTTGGTTAAGGGAATGAATTTTTGAAATGAAAATAGCTCGTTTCTTATTGCAATCTATGGTCATTGAATTATCACTTTGCAGAACATTTCCTAAATGTTTTAAGTTTTAAGGATAAAAGGCTAACTTAGGGTAAAACAAAAATCATAATATATTTGTACCCTATCTTGTCCTCAGGCAATCAGAAATTTTTGGAACAGAATTTGAGTTTTGACATATAAATCATTTTTTGGTTGTACATTTTATTCTTGTTCAAAGAAAACGTTTTCAACCCCCCCCCCCCCCCCCCCATTGTGAGAAAATGGTTTGAAAAGTAGAATTTCTCAAGTTAGTGTTGGATGTAGTTTTATTTACAAAATGTTTTCTGACCATGATCTCCGCAAACACATTATCTAGGCCATTACCCTCGGTTTAAGGCCCAGGGGGGTGCTAACCAAAATCCTTTTACACATTCTCAAGTTTTAATATTCAAACTAAGTGAGTTATGGTTTTCTTCAATGAGTGTCCACAAAACATTCAGTCCAGTCGTTTGGCCGGCCCGAGGGAAATATATACGAATGTCTTGTTTTATTGTATTGATAATTAGGTTAACTTGGAAGTTCTTCGGCTTGGGAAGTTTTTCTTCTAATTTCTAAACTAAGAAATGCGCAAGACACTTTTGTAGAGAAATAGAAGATAAAAGAATCAACTTTCAAAAACAACAACATTGATCTATCAGACTTGATCAGATCAAGGATTTAAGGGTACCCTTGTGAATAGGACGAGTTATTCTTTCAATTGAGGGTCACTTGAAATTACGTTTGCAATCATAATAATCTATCTTCTATATAATAAAACAAGACATTCGTATATATGGCCGGCCAAGCTGCTGGACCGCACCATAGTTTCAGTAGAAGTAAATATTTCCATTTACTGTTATAGCGCCGATATAAGGATTTATCACTAATTGGATAATGAGCTAGATAGAATTAGATACACGTTACCGCCACCCAATTTATTTTGGTTCAGAATAGAAACCAAACACATGGCTCAACCCTGATTGGATCAGGCGCTACTGGACTTGGCATACAGAAGTGAATAATGAGAAATTTTTTTTCAAAACTTTTTTTTCATTTTTTTTCCACGGGCAACGCCGGGCCCTTTAGCTAGTAAATTATATATCTGTTGTTGGATAAGGTCAGTAAAAGTCACTGTATGTTAACAAATTTGCCATTGAGCAAATTATGCAAGCTGGGCGTTTTTTGTTTGATTGGGCGATTTAATTTTAGACGTTTTGTTTGTGGGCGTTTTGCACCCACCCGATGTTGATAAAGGTGATTAAAGAAATTTCACATGACTTGTCTCGTTACTGAGCTCACATATTTCTCATGTTTTCTACAGCTCCCTGTATACTGTCAAGTCGTGACAAGTTTATTCATAAACATTAGTTTTCTGCCTTTCTCTGTAATTCTAACAGAAAACTAATATAGTGTTATTCATACTCTCTAATTACAACTTCATATAATATATATATATGTACAGTTGTATATATGTACATTTTGCATGCTTCCTGAAAATCCTAAATATATAAGCAATATCAAATTTGGAACATGCACACGTACATTACGACATTCTGCTTTATGTATAATACTAACTGAAGGAGCTGAAAAAATCGAATTTTGATCATAAGTACACTGCAATACAAAAGATGCGCACACCTCTGAAATAACTTTTCTTGCATTATAACCTTGATTACGCTAATTATATGTGAATAAATATCTGGAAACTAACCAATGAGAGGAAGGATGAGTTGGTAAACCAGTTTTCCACAGTCTCCATAGTTGCCATTGCGTGTACAGGTACATTGAACATTATGTACCTACAGATAGATAGATAGATGGATAGATATATAGATAGATAGATAGATAGATAGATAGATGTGTAGATGTATTCATAAACTATAAAGTGTTAGGCGGATATATAAATACAGTAAACGACAAAGCTTGCATTAATGTCAAATTAATTAAACATGACGGGATTCGGTTAATTTATCATTTTTATATCAATGTTTTGGGTATATGTCTCTGTTTTGGGTATATGTCTCTGTTTTGGGTATATGTCTCTGAAAACAGGTTGACGCTTTTTTGAAGTAGCAAAGACGCAATAGAAAGTCACAATATTGATATAACAATTCTGTAGAATGAAGATAGATATATAATAAAACAAAAATAATAAGAGAAACGATCCTGAACAGGGGAGGGGTTCCAAACTCGAAATAAAACTGTGATGGGGGGGGGAGCACGGAGCGAAACTTGTAAGAGAGGAGTGGGTGCAAGGGGACGGAGCCCCCCGCAAAAAAAATTATGATTAAAAGTGATCGAGTATTCTAAGTGCTCAAAATAGCAAATTACGTAAAATATGTGAAAATATTGCCACCATATTGCCACCATATTGCCACCATATTGCCACCATATTGCCACCATATTGCCACCTTAAAATTGTACTTTCAAATTTTTCCCTCAGACATCTCAGGGAAGAAAAGTCGAGGGTATCTCATTTTATAAAAAAAACTTTATATCAAATACTATCGATAAGGGATGTGAAATTTTGTGAAATTTTGTGAAATTTTTATGAAATCATTTTACAGAAGCAAAATTGTATTCTACTTGGAATTTCTAGGCATAATTCTGAAATGCATTTTCACAAAAATCAAAAATGGCTCCCTAAATTTAGCTTTAGAGATGAAAAATGTAAAAAGTGAAAATGAAATTTTAAAAGCATATTTATATAGGTATCAATAAAATATGCGTTAATATCGGAGTTCAAAATATAAAAAATTGGGAGAGCTAAAAATAATATTTCTTATTAATTAATTAAAAAACTGCAGTTATACAAAGCTGGGGTCCATAAAATTTGGAAGGATCATAAATACGACTGTAATATAGACTCAAGATATAATGATTTTAAATACTAAATAAATAATGGAATAAACATAAAACCATTTAGTATTTACAAGTTCACTTTCAAGCAACCGTAAAAACTAGTTTCTTTTAAAATTAATATTCAACATTTTATTCAAGAGTTTACTTACATGATATCGTAGAACGCGAGCGCAGCGAGAAGCTGGTTGAACGTATGCTTCCTCATTTCCGGTGAGAGGAGGGTGAAGATTGAGGCGATATTTGCCACTAATCCAACCGCACCGAGCCCACAGAAAAGTATTCCTAACCAACCAACAAACAACGTAAGATTGTTCGAAAATTGCTGGAGAATTTTAGAGTGTTCTTTGAGTTGGATTTTTTGGATCATATACTCAATGGAATGCATACAGCTTATGGTACAACTTTGGGACCTTGTAGCTCCTCTAAATTGAGAATTTTGTTACCATTGTGTTTTATCCCTAAACAGGCTGGGAGCGCCCCCTCCCTGTAGTTTTTTTTTGTCCTCGCACTCAACTTTGAGACCTTGTAGCTCCTCTAAATTGAGAATTTGGTTACCATTGTGTTTGAAGGAGGCCAATCCTAACTAAAAAATGTTCCAGGGTAGTTTTGGGTTTGTGCATTTTTAGAAAGTTAGTTGGTAGATTCGTGTTATCGGATTATTAAAGGGTTTAAAATTTAATTCTGTAAATGTGAAGGTTTATATTTTTGAAAAGCAAAAATCCAAACAAAAGTTCCTGGATGCAAGAAAAGTTAAGCAAAGTTTGAATGAACCGGACTAAGTTTTGAATTTATCAGTAGAAGTGAATTAAACATATCTTCAAACATGAAATTACAAGATTCCAAAACTGTTGATCTTAGCAGTAAAATATTTGGTGGTTTGCTCATTAATGTGAGAATAGAAACTAAACATATTATCTGTACTTTATTAACTATATAATCTGTACTATGACCTATATTATCTGTACTTTATTAACTATATTATCTGTATTATGAACTACATTATCTGTACTATATTAACTATATTATCTGTACTTTATTAACTATATTATCTGTACTTTATTAACTGTATTATCTGTACTTTATTACCTATATTATCTGTACTTTATTAACTATATTATCTTTACTTTACTAACTATATTATCTGTACTTTATTAATTATATTATCTTTACTTTATTAACTATATTATCTTTACTTTATTAACTATATTATCTGTACTTTATTAACTATATTATCTGTACTTTATTTACTATATTATCTGTATTTTATTAACTATATTATCTGTAATTTATTTACTATATTATATGTACTTTATTAATTATATCATCTGTACTTTATTTACTATATTATCTGTACTTTATTTACTATATTATCTGTACTTTATTAACTATTTTATCTGTACTTTATTAACTACATTATCTGTATTATTAACTATATTATCTGTATTATGAACTACATTATCTGTATTATTAACTATATTATCTGTAAATTATTAACTATATTATCTGTACTTTATTTACTATATTATCTGTACTTTATTAACTATATTATCTTTACTTTATCAACTATATTATCTTTACTTTATTAACTATATTATCTGTACTTTATTTACTATATTATCTGTATTTTATTAACTATATTATCTGTACTTTATTAACTATATTATCTGTACTTTATTTACTATATTATCTGTATTTTATTAACTATATTATCTGTACTTTATTTATTATATTATCTGTACTTTATTAATTATATCATCTGTATTTTATTTACTATATTATCTGTACTTTATTTACTATATTATTTGTACTTTATTAACTATATTATCTGTACTTGATTTACTATATTATCTGTACTTTATTAACTATTTTATCTGTACTTTAATAATTACATTATCTGTATTATTGACTATATTATCTGTACATTATTAACTATATTATCTGAACTTTATTTTCTATATTATCTGTACTTTATTAACTATATTATCTGTACTTTATTAACTTCTGTAATCTGTATTATGAACTATATTATCTGTACTTTATTAACTATATTATCTGTATTATGAACTATATTATCTGTACTTTATTAACTATATTATCTTCTGTACTTTATTAACTATATTATCTGTACTTTATTAACTATATTATCTGTACATTATTAACTATATTATCTGTATTATGAACTATATTATCTGTACTTTATTAACTATATTATCTGTACATTATTAACTATATTATCTGTACTTTATTAACTATATCATCTGTACTTTATTTACTATATTATCTGTATTTTATTAACTATATCATCTGTACTTTATTTACTATATTATCTGTACTTTATTAATTATATCATCTGTACTTTATTTACTATATTATCTGTACTTTATTTACTATTTTATCTGTACTTTAATAACTACATTATCTGTATTATTAACTATATTATCAGTACATTATGAACTATATTATCTGTACTTTATTTACTATATTATTTGTACTTTATTAACTATATTATCTGTACTTTATTAACTTTATTATCTGTACTTTATTAATTATATTATCTGAATTATGAACAATATTATCTGTACTTTATTAACTATATTATCTGTACTTTATTAACTATATTATCTGTACATTATTAACTATATTATCTGTATTATGAATATTAACTATATTATCTGTACATTATTAACTATATTATTTGTACTTTATTAACTATATTATCTGTAATTTATTAACTTTATTATCTGTACTTTATTAACTATATTATCTGTACTTTATTAACTATATTATCTACTAAAAAGTTACATTTTGCGTAAAACTTGCGGTTTTGCGCAAATTGCGCAAAAAAATTGCGCAAAACTAAAATTTCGTTACATGCGCAACTTTCGCAAAAAATATTTCCGGTTTTGCGCAAATTGCGCAAAAAAAATAGCGCAAAACCGCGCAAAACTCATTGCGTTTCATGCGCAAAAATAGCGCAAAAGTTCGCAAAAAAAAAATTTGCGCAAAAGATTTAGCCATTTCGTGGAAACCCTAATTATGAACTATATTATCTGTACTTTATTAACTATATTATCTGTATTATGAACTATATTATCTGTATTTTATTAAATACATTATCTGTATTATTAACTATATTATCTGTATTATTTACTATATTTTCTGAATTATTTACTATATTATCGGTTAATGAAAATAATTGTCCAAATAACATAATATTATCAAATCTTCTCATTTTAGTTTTTTTTGTTCTTGTTCTCAGGTTCCTTAATTTTGGGTAGAGTTACACAATACTTCTTGAGACAAGGTTTAGAAAATATAAGTTTCTATATTTTCCCATAACATTGTGTCCAAAAGCAATTTTTCTACGGAGCGAAGGTTATTTTTAGAATTTTGAAGATATTTATTAAAGCTGCAACTGTTTACGAAACTGTAAAATATTTATATAAAATGTAATATTAATTAAATGATAAGACACGTCAAACTAATGCAAATTACAGAAAGTAAGATTGAAATTTTAAACCATGAATCCTCAAGTTACTGAACAGCTTTTTTGACGAATAAATTTGTAATATGTAACCCGATAAATTTGCTATTCTTATATTTGTGCATGTAATCAAAACTAGAGGAGCTACGAGGTCATAACGTCGTCCAGTAATGTCGCATAAATCTAATCTTCTTGATCCTTATGTCTAGTTCAGAGTTAAGCGGAAAAAAATTTTGAATTTTATGAGGCCACAATTTCGTCGTATGACTGTCATTTTTAAACGGTAGCCTTACAACATCTAGACTTTTAAGAAAAAGCAATTCACTAGATTTCTTTGTTTTTAAAACAAAACAAAAAATAAAGTTTTTGCCACAAACTCTGATTTTAGCAAATCCTTACATTCTTGTGACCCAATGATATTTCAAATTGTAAATAAAAATTGTAAAAAAATAAATAATTTCCTTTACAATTTTTAGTTTAAGGTTTAAATTCTCCGAAAATAAGCTGACATAGTAAAAAGAATTATTGCTGAAGGGAGTAAAACAAATTTTCATTTGAACCTTGTATACAACAATACAGAACACCCAGTCGTAATTTTTCATGCATTTAGCCCATTTATAGCTATAACACTTAGCTAATTCTTAACCCTAAGCAGCCTGGGGGGGGGGGTGTTAGATGCCTTCCCTCTATTGTTTTGTCCCAGCACTCTCATTTTTGACACTATCATTGTGATTTTTTTTTATTTATAATGAGTAGAAATTTGAAATATATTTTTTTATGGATAGAGTAGGGCACAGGGTGGCAAAATTTTCGGTCTAGGTAAAAAAATCTAAAATAGCCCATAACTAGTGACTAAAGCTACAGATATAAAAACTATATTTTTTAAAAGCCCTTGAAAAATTGATGTAGAAAAATGTGTCCCAACATTTTTTTGGCGTTTTTTCAACCATATCTGGCACCCAAACTATTAAAGTTATCTCTATATTTTTTTTTCAATGAGCTGGCCTTGAAAAATTGGCCTATGAACATGTATTTCAATCCTATATCTATTCTCTAAGGCTTTTTTGTAGGGGTGGGTCGTGAGACACCCCCCCCCCTAGGCTTTACATAGATTTAGACCCCCAGTATTTATAGGGTTGAAGAAAATATTATAAACAGAAAACTATATTATCTGTACTTTATTAACTATATTATCTGTACTTTATTAACTATATTATCTGTACTTTATTTACTATATTATCTGTACTTTATTAACTACATTATCTGTATTATTAACTATATTATCAGTACATTATGAACTATATTATCTGTACTTTATTTACTAGCCACCATATTGCCACCATATTGCCACCATATTGCCACCTTAAAATTGTACTTTCAAATTTTTCCCTCAGACATCTCAGGGAAGAAAAGTCGAGGAATTTATATATTTTTATATATTTATATATTTTTACATTTTTATATATTTTTATATATTTATATATTTGAACTCATATATTCATAAAATTCAAGGGAATATTTAACTTATTTCTAAATAATAAATCAAACCCAATTTTGGGAATTATAAATACAAGTTAACAACTATCAGTATTAATGCTTAAATAATTTTGTCTATTTAAAATTGTTTTTTTTCTTTAGAATATGGTAATATTAGCATTTTTGGGGTCACTTCCTTTATTCAATAAATTCGCCAGCCCCTGATCTAAAATCCAAGTATTTAATGCAACGAAAGTTATTTCAGAAGTGTACACATCTTTTGTACTGCAGTGTACTGTCTCTGAGCGGTAATGTAAACACAAGACGGATGTTAGAGCCTGACATGGGATCCATCTTTCACATAAAAAATCAATGAAATATTCTGGTCATATAAACCTTCTCGGATACTAAACGAACACTGATGCATCTATTCTTGTTTACAAATTCCGCCCAAAGAGAACTGGTTTCAAAATGTACGCAGAGTATACACAACCGCAATTAACTTTCCTTTCATTACACCCTTGCTAAAATCAAGCTAAAACGAGTTATAATTAAGAGAGTTTAACTCTGGGAACCACACTAATTCCAATTGTTTGAATTAAACACTGAGTGTAGTAGGTTGAAGTGCAAATATAAAAATTAAAATTTCAAAACTCCGAATGAGAAAAATTAGATTAACAATAGACTAAAGAGATTGAATTACAAAGAATAAAATCAGATAAGTTTAAATGTTTAAAATTTAG